ACCTGAACCCTGAACCGAATCCTGGATTGAACATTCATCAATAAAAAGGAGTTTGTGTTGTACCTGGAAACGTGTGGCTGAGCTACTCTCATGTACATTATCCCTTAGCCATTTTATTGCCATGGGAAGTGAAGTAAACACCTCACTGTTCCCACTACTTTCACCATCTTTTCCTCTATCTTCTTCTCCTTCTGCGTTCCCTATAACCAGAAAAAGACTCAAAGTTGAGATATGGATCGTTATGACGTGTGTTTGTTCTGTTCCATCATTTAGGATCACTGAATTTTTGTTACTACCTCTTTCACTCTGGACAAGGCTTTCCCAAACTTTCTGGAGGGAGAACTGCCATGACAAGTCAACCTGTGGATCATTCTCTGGCAAATCAGCCGCTGTGCCAACCTTGTGATACACCGACATGTTTGGTACAAACAATGCTTTCTTGAAATGGACACCTGCATTAATTAACATTCAGCTTCCTCTTGTTATCTTATATGTTATTAATCAGACAACTTTTTTGTTTCAACATTGACATTGACACAAGGCTCAATATCTTACCATAGTTTGCACATGTATTCCTTAGATGTGGAAGCAGCAGATTTGGGTCCCGAACTGACATACAATTGAACAACAATATCTGCAAAGCAACCAGATGCGTCCGTTCAGATATCTCCAAAGAGAAAACAAGTAAAGGCATTTACGAAGATAGTCTTAACCAAATCCTTTTCCTGTGAATTCATTGACTCTCTCATATCATTTATAAATCTAAGACAGAACAAGAAACCCGGGTCCTTACCTGTTCGCAGGTTTCATCAGACCATTTATCATGAGAGGATCCTGCGGAGCCATTAACCAAATGTTCCGAACTCTCTAACTGGTTCTCTCCCTTAACGGCAAACGAGAACCATTTGGCGCATGCTTCCATGCTTTCTGGACTGTGAGCTCCATCCAGATAAAAGACTAGATCTCCTGAACTCCTAGATTCAGTAAATTGATCAGGGACGACCTGTGCCCGGCCTTGTAAACTCGCTGTAGCTAACCCTTTGATGAATTTCTCAGGCAATATACTCTAGTACGAAGAAGATTATGGGAAAAGGATGAAATTCTCAAATGGGAGAAGGGCCAAGATAGAAACTGTGAGTTAAATAAAGACAGATAAGAGCAGTTTACCATCTGAGTCCGACTCGGAACTTCAAGTTTACCAATTTGCTGAAGCCAGGTAGAGGCAAGCGAAACTGCCAGGCCAGCATTGAGATATTGGTGCTCCCCATCAAGCCCAAGTTTCTGACCACTTAACAGCCTTGCGGTTAGTGGATGCACCACTTCGAGATTCACCTGTCAATATAATGTTAGAGCTTCTCAAAAACACCTACCATTATTTTCATAATCTGTCATTAGAATGGTGAATCTTCTCCACAAAAGTACCCACACTTACTATCACAGATAAAATATGCAACAATGGGAACAACTTTGTGGATGCATTGATTTTCTCAATTTTCACCGTAAAATAATGGGGTATTTAAAATGCTGCAATCATGCAAGCAGCTCATAAACATAAATAATATATATGCGCAGACATTGTCTGCCAAATTTAATGACCATAGTGTTCAATAATTAAAGTTGAGCATACATTTAATTCGGAAGCTTTCTCTTCAAGAACACGCATGGCTTCATCAGGTTGGGGCACTGTGAAGGCTGGAACTCCAAGCTGAAATATGAACAAAGAAGATGAAGAAACTATGAAGAGTATTGGTAAGTTATAAAAAGAAATGGTCAGTTTCAGTTTTAGATATATAAGAGTTATAGCCAACCTTGAAAATTCCAGCCTTCTCGCCAGCAATTTTACCCAGCGTATCACCTGTGATGCATCCCACAGAGAAGAAATAAATCATGATATACTATCAGAGGAAAGAAATGTAACTCAAAATATGTCTGCTCATAATTTAAAATTTTCATAGCAGTAACCGTATGGCATGCAGAAGATTCCAGTTACAAACCTAGAATTTCCATGTGGTCATATCCGAGTGAAGAAATACCACATACCACAGGCTTCTGAACCTGTAACAAGTCAGCAGTTCATGAGAACACATGAAAGGCTACTAACAACCTTCCTGAAAGTTATTCATATTTTAGTAGTTGGAGTCTTCTGAAGATTATATTGTAATTATGTTTGGTTAATAAAAGATTTGGGTTCCGATCTTATCTAGGATTTTCATATAACTTTCCCCTGACCCAAAAAAATGGAACTGATCAGATTTCAGGTTTCCTCTTTCGTAATAAAATTTAATCTTGGATGTTAGCGAAAGGGATATGTTCAGACAAAAGCATTCCAGCTGAGAAAAAACAGGTCAAGCGTACCGCATTAGTGGCATCAAACTTCCCACCTAATCCTACCTCCAATATAGCAGCATCTACCTGCATAAAGAAGCAAAGTGCAGCACCTCTTAACTTAAATCAGTAAAAAGAAGAAGTTGTTTCTATAGCTATGATGTCACTGAGTACGAAAAATGGTAAAATCAAGGTAAAGACTGGTATCAAACCTCTTCTGCAGCAAATATTTTAAAAGCTAGCAACGCAAGGAAACGAAAATATGTAGGCATCGGTATCTCCTCGTTAGTTCTCTCCTGCAAATCAAATAGTCAGAAACCTTTTATTTTGAGTAAAAAACTAAAGCTTCCATCTTGTGGAACTATGCACACCATTATGAGTTCTTACATCAAATTCTCAGACGCGACACAAAAGGTTATTTGAAAAATAAAGTTCTCTTCAGCATCACTAAACCCTCGAGGAAAATAGTTCCAATAAAGTTTTATGTTGATGGCTTATTATGTCAGGTGCGGAAACTCAGTTCAGCAGTGAATGAATAATAAAATTTCTCTATGAACCACAACTCTAGCACGAACTCATCGGCTTTAAGCTAATATGGAAATACAAAAAAAAAGTGTTCCTGAAAAATGGTGTGTGCTCTACTTTTTTATCACATTCTATATGGCTTTCATCACTAAGATTCCAAGTTTACAGAACTACTAGCCAATCTAGAAACCTAAAATACAGAAAAATTGAGTTCAAAACAAATGATTCAGATAATTGGATCTTCTTGTTACAAAATAGTCAACATACCTTGAGCCTGTTATAGCACCACCAGAAATAACCCAAAAATTTCTCTTCACTTATGTCCGCACTGTAGCAATATTAAACACATCAGATAAATCAAATGTAAGCAATCTCAGTAAAGAAGAATGCAAAGTAGAGATAGACTGTCTTGTTTGTAACTTTCGGATCTCTGCTTGTTAGATCGAGAATAAAAAAGGGGATTTAAGTAACGCAGATTCAAAAATTTGAATCAGCAAGAAGATGATATGCTCTGGAAAATGGAAAAACATCTGTGAATAGGAGTATACTGCAGGCCAAGTATTGTTGGTTCCTGTTTCTCTATAAGTGCAGTTATATATTTCTTAGATTTTTTAACAAACTTAGAAAAACTTACCCATCCAAGCGAAATCTTTCCCGGACATCAATGAGATGAGGTGAAGTAAAGAGTCCAGTTCTGAAGCCATAGTTTCGTAAAATGGACTCTGTAAAGGCACACGTGGATCCCTTCAGGCCACATAAGAAAGAAAAAAAAGAAAAAAGAATAATGTAAGCTGCTGGATCAGAGAGTAATCAGCCACGCAAGCAGTGAACCACTTTTATCAAACAAATTCAGTGAAGGTTTAGGGCTCCATTCCTGGGTTCAGGGCTCAAGATGAATGAGTCCAGTAACGTATCTCAAATCTCCACAGAGCAAAACTCTAAGGCTTCTGGCAAAGCAGTCATAAGGACGTAACGGTCAAGACTAGAGTTGGACTAAGAGAGGCTTGCTTACACGAGAAATCTATAACTAACTAACTGACGAACAAACTAATAATGGCAAAGGAGATGTCCCAGTATCATTTATTGAGCTTGAGCAGAAGGAATTAAAAGTAGTTGTTACCTTGCCTTTGGTTCCAGCTACATGGATTACTTTCATCTTCAAAATGTCTTCTTCCAGATCAAGTAGCTACCAAATTGATTACAAGATGCGTCATATTCAACACAAAAAAGGTGCAAAATCAAAATCAAAAACTTTTAAAGAGAATGAAAGTCACAAGAGAAAACAAACCTTGAGATAATCAAAGACTAACTCAAAACGATCCCCTTTGTTGCTTTTATCAGCACGGCTTCGCTTTGTAATCAAAGACGACAAAGCAGCCAACGCTTCCTCATACGAATCTCTTCCTGTTTTTTGCTTCACCACTCCATAATCACCTGTAACCAATCACCAAACAAGTGGTGAGCTCGATCCGATAAACTTTAGCAATAAAAAAACATATGTTCCCTCGTGAGTACGAGCTTAGAGAAGAAACGAGAATCAACAACAAAACCTTGCGCTGCCATGTCGATCTGCTTTCTTAACGAACGAATCTGAAAAATAGGGAAAAAATTATCAAAGATGCCGAAACGAGAATTTCTCCGAGTTTCTCGGAAAAGAGAATATTAGGAGAGAAAGAGAGAAACCTGGAAAGAGAAAGATGTTAGGTGCGGCTGTTGTTGGTGATGGTGGAGCCGAACTGTGAGAGGAGGTATCGAGAGGTGGTGACAGAGGAACGCAGAGCTCAAACGGCACGATGTGGTACGAGGTGCTAACGAAACTGCAAACATTCTCTTGTCGTTGAGTGGTGGTGTAACATTGCACTACACTCGTTTGCTTTTGTTTAGTCGTTTTCGGCAATTGGATTGTGAGAATCACAACTTTTAAATTTATGGTGTTATGTATATAAACAGTATACAATCATCAAAACCGTCTGGGTGGTGTAGTCGGTTATCACGCTAGTCTCACACACTAGAGGTCCCCGGTTCGAACCCGGGCTCAGACACTCTTTTTTTTTTTTTGGATTTTCTTTTCGCACGTAGGTGATTCACTCGCACACGTGTGTACGAATCTCCATTACTTAGGGGGAAAAAAAAAAAAAAAAAAAGGGAGAACCAAACAAACGCATCGACGAATCGTAATCGAACTCATCGGAGCTTCTTGAATTCATCTTCGAAGAGGGTATAGGTTCATCGTGTTGCTTAGTTTCTGAGAAAAGAGGAAGAGACGAGGCGAGGGAGATATGGATTGGGACAACGTAGCTGCTGAGGATGTGATTGAGGCGCTCAGAGAAGTTGAATGGTCCACTCCTCCTCGTTCGTTTGGCGAGTTCTTCTCTAGATTCGCATTCCCTCGCTCTTTCTCTAAATGGAAGAGCCGTCTCAAATGCAATCTCTACTAGTATTAGCTCTCTCTCTCTGTATCTTGATTGTTGTCTGCGTCTATTTGGATTTGGGATCATTACCTTATGTTGATTTTTTTTTGCCTGTGTTATGTTTGCAGCTATAGAACTAATTACTTTATCCTGGTGGTTCTCCTTCTGGGTAAGTGAAAAATTTTGCATAAATTTCTTGTTTTGAGCTGTATTTTTGGGAATTTGGAAGCTTTGATGAAGATCTTGTGCTGTGCCGTTTGTTAACTGATGTTCTCTATTTTGTTGAATCAGGTCTTGCGCTTGTCACAAGACCTCTGGCTATTGTGGGTGCTGCTCTAACAGCCTTGGGCATAGCTTTCCTTAACGACAGGTATTATCTCCGGTGACTTTTTCATGGTTTCCACTTTGTATCTCTGCTCTGCAATGAGTTTGAGGCTTCATTGTTATGTGAAGCTAGTGTAGTTTAGCATAAATTGGAAGATATTAGACTCCTTTATGTACAGTGTCTGCTCTTGAACTGGATTCTTAGTAGTGGATTTAATAGGTTCTTGTGATCTGTGGTTTTTGAAATCTGAGTGTTTCATGGTGGCTTGTTCCATGTGGTATTTACATGAATTTTATGGTGGCTTGTTCCATTTGTATTCACATGCACTGTAAGATATTAGGCTCTTTTGTATATAACAGTTGCTCTAGAACTAGATATGAGTATTGGAATTGATAAGGATGTATAAGTTTGGTTCTTGAAGTCTTGAGTTTTCAAGGCGGTTTGTTCCATTCCCGCTGTGGTGATTTGATGTTCATGTTAGAATCTGACATCGAATTTAGTTGCTTTTTTCTTAGGATTGGATCCCTAGAATTGTAGTATGTCGTTTTGTGTGTACATGCTCCCTAGCAGAAGCTTAAGGGGGTTAACTATTGTTTTTTGCAGTTTTGCCGCTAGTTTCAATGAGAAGTTTATAAGGACTATTAGGCATTTCTCCCCACATATGGCTGCAAAAATGAGGCCTCCCCACATGTGAGTTTCTTTTTAATTTATTTTCCATGGAAGATATGAAGAGGATTTCTTAGTTATCTATATGTTTTGTGGACACTTGCAGGCCTGTCATCCGTGGAAGATCAGCAGCAAGAAAGACAGTATACGTGTGTGGAAAACCACGATGGGCATATGTTGTTGTTCTCCTAACAGGTACTTGAATACTCACTATCCCTTGTCATGTAGTTTGTGCAACATTGGTGTTGAAACTGATCAGTGTGTGGATTTCCTTATGTGCATACAGCCAGTCTTGCCATGTGGTTTTCTTCCTGCGGTTTGTTGTTGGTCCTCTATGCACTTCTCACTTCCCTCGTCGGTAAGTCACTCTGCTTCTTTGTTCGTAGATTTTCTTTGATGGATTTTTCTTACATGAGGTTTTCTCTCCATAGTGATTGTCCTTCACGCAAGCGTAAGAACTCCAAACCTCAAGGCACGATTGAACACATTCCGCGAAGAATTTAGAGCTGTCTGGCGCAACTACAGTGAACTTTGAGTCACATGGCTGCTACGATCTAGGAGCAAACGGAGGCTGTTAATCTGAAGTGAGCATCCCTTTGTTATGTCAGATGATTGCAGATACGGCTCTCAGTTTCATGGTTAAGATGGGTTTTTGGCTGTTCGATCGCAGACAAATAGATTCACTTGAAATACAAGACATACTTGATCAAGTTTCTTTTAATTGGTGTAGTCATGTTTATAGTTTTCAAACTGTGATAGTGATATGACCTAACAATACTGATATTTTTTTTTATGAATAGATTCAAACAGAACTGAACAGTGCTAAAATTACAAAATTTGGAAGACAGAGCATTTGAAAATAAAAGTGTTTTATTTTTCTCAAGACTTGACAAAGTTCTTGAGAGTTTTCAACCACAGTAAGTGCTCTCGACTATCTTTGTTGATCATGTACTCGTGCAAGAAGTTGATCATGCTCGGCTTTATCCCCCTAATCTCAATGTACCTATGGAAAGCTTTCCTCAGCTTTTCATCCAAAACCCTGCAGAAAGAAACCATCAAAGGTCATGATTTTGGTTACTGTAACATCCAAAGCTTAAAATTTGTTCTCCTATTACCTGAAGGAAGGGCCTTCATAAGCAATCTCATCCTTGGAAGGATCATCTGGAAATGTAACCCACATGTCCTTGATTGCAATCCTGTCTGGAAAAGCAGTACACCTAAATTCCAAACTTGGTCCTGTCTTCTTGGAAAGAGTTACTAATAGAGGCACATTGGATTGCTTCGGCTTCTCTGGCTTATCCTCATCTTCATCTTCTTCATTCTCTGCCTCTTCATCATCATCTTCATCATCTTCTTTGTCACCCGTCACAAGATTGGTCATGTGTACTTCAACTTTAACACTCTCTCCTTCATATTCTCTAGTCAATGTCACGATCTTTCCTCCAGGTTTGTCCTCCATTTTGAAAGGGAAACCACTTGGAACTTCTTCAACCTTTGTTCACACAAAAGGAGAAACAGAGAGATTAAACACCACAGCCATTGAAACAGAGCTTCACGAAACCCATATAAGATCTTAACATGAAACAAAAATCTTAGAACTAAAACATGAAAATGGTATGAACAGGGGAAGTTAGGGCTTACTCGATCGTAATCATCAGCATTCTCCGCGTATCCAATCTCCGTTTCGATGATTCGAAGAAGCGGATCGGTTGGAGAAGCTCTCTTTCTGGTCGATGTGGTGAATGGAATCTTCCGAGAAAACGACGGCGTCAAATACTTCCGGCTGCCATGACCCGACTGATCCAGAAATGAGTAAACGGAAGAACGGTTTTTGCAATAATTTGCGACAAAACGAGTTGCTGCGCGACGTACAAGAGTCGCCATTTTTGTGTCGGAGCTCAATCTGGAAGAGCCGGAGGGTTTTTAATTTCCTTTAGGGTTTAATAGAGCAAATTACAGATTTAGCGGGACTTAGATTATAAATCAAAGAAAATTGCTAAAAATACAGGCCACGATGGGCCGCTTGGCCCATTAATATTTATATGATTAAAAAAAATTTAGGAGACCGTTTCCAGAATCTGAAACCCTAGTTTGCTTTCTTCTTTCAGTCGTTGCCTTTTTAAGTTACAAACGAACAACACATTTAGCGGCATATCCAAAAGTCCGAGAATAGGATGGGAATTGATTCGATGCAGAAAACAAACAAGCTCCGATGGGGAGAGATAGACGATGAAGACGACTTTGGTTTCCTGCTTCCGCCTAAGCAGGTGATTGGTCCGGATCAGAACGGTGTAAAGAAAGCGATTGAGTATAAGTTCGACGACGAGGGCAAAAAGGTCAAAATCACTACCACGACCCATGTTCAGAAGCGAGCTTTCACCAAGCAAGCCGTGGAGCGACGGAGCTGGATTAAGTTCGGTGACGCCGCCCATGAGGATGCTGGTAGCTATCTCACAATGCGTTCAACCGAGGATTTCATCTTGGAACGAATTAGAGCTCCTGGTAAATCTGAATACTTTTGCATTTTGGTTTGTTAGGGATTCATTGTTCTTATGCTCTGTTTTGATATGTGAGTAATCAATCTTGACGTATATGTTTTGTTTTCGGGTGGCTAATTAGCCAGTCACATGTTAGCCTTATGGCTGGTGTTTGTGTGAATGGTCAGTACGCTCACCTATAACAATGTCGTTGATGATTCGTTTGTATGCTAAAACAGGACTAACCCCAGTTTTAGTTATGGATCATCAACTATATCTTGATCATTATCTATGTGGCTTTCTCACTAGTTTCTTGTAACTGTTTGTAACATGATAACAAAGGTGCCCAATTAGCCGATCACATTTTAGCCTTATGGCTGCTTCTTTCTGTGATTGGTCAGTATGTCACCAATATAAGTATCTTGTTGGTAGCCCTTTCTGAATGTGAGTAAATTTGTGTTCTCCTTTCTTGGCTGCTAACTGTACACATAAAGTTCTCATTTTTACTCTATTAGTAGCTTCTCTGTCCAACAGCAAAACAGTTTGAAATTTCTTAGTCTTGATGGTGCTTGCTTGTGAACTTTGTTAATGTTTTCTGTTTACTCTCTGCTTTAGAATTCAATTTTGAGAATCTCTCTCAATGGGTGGACACGTTAGTCAGCCACATTTTTCTATATGCGGGTGGCCGTAATGCCCACCCAGATGGTTTGTTGGTGGCTTCTTCACGAAAGTAGATTTCTGCTTTCATTTCATAGCTACCAACTACATTCTGAGTCTAATTTTTAATTTTTTATTATGAAGAAATATCTTGCTTTTACCGTTTTAAGTATACCTCTGTTTTGAAGTTTGACTTCTTTTCTATTGTATGATTCAGGTATCAAGACGGAAGAGGCAACTTCATCAGCAGAAAGCATGTCTCATTTGGGCAAACCGGGTACAGTCCTTATGGTCTGCAGGTTGTGCCACATGAAAGGTGACCACTGGACATCAAGATGCCCAAGGAAGGATCTCTTATCCTTAGGGGACGAGCCTTTAACATCAGAGCCCTCTACATCGACCGTAGCTGGAACTGGGGGTAGGGCTGCTTATATCCCGCCAAGCATGAGAGAAGGTGCAGACAGAAAAAGTGCTGGTTCAGACATGAGGAGTAGAAATGATGAGAACTCTGTCCGAGTTACTAATTTGTCTGAAGATACCCGTGGACCAGATTTGATGGAGTTGTTTCGTCCGTTTGGTGCTGTAACCCGTTGTCATGTAGCCATTGACCAGAAGACGAGCACGAGCAGAGGATTTGGTTTTGTTAATTTTGTCAGCAGGGAAGATGCAGAGCGAGCAATCAATAAATTGAATGGCTATGGTTATGATAACCTCATCCTTAGGGTTGAATGGGCCAGTCATAGACCGAGTTAGATCCCATGTTATTTTCTAATTACAATATTCTCCGTTATATACATAAAGATTCGTGATTAAAATTCTCGTGATATTCATGTTACCATGCACTAGCAGAATAAGTACTATCTTTCGAACTTCTTACTATTTACATTTATGGTGAATACGTGCAAAAAGTGTTAAATCTCTCTTTAATATGGTAAGCATGTTAAGCTTAATTCCGGTGGTTTATAAGGGCTAAGTCATTTTTAATGATCATTTTTACAGAGAATCAAGTGAATATCAAAGTCAAAGAGATGGGAAGCAAGAATTCGAAAGGCTCTTCTACAACCAACCCGAAAGATGAGATTGTGGTTGCGCCTCGGCCTCAGCAGCAGCCGCAATCACCGCTATTGATCCGGAAATCGCAACCGCAACAGCCATTACCACCAGCTTCATCAGAGATGCCGCTTCTCTATCCGTGTTACAAAAGAGAAGACTATGAGAAAATGAGCGAAGAGAAAATCGATATGCTCCTAGCGACTTACGGAATCATGACAGTGCCCGGCGATTTGGCTTACAAGAGAGAATTTGCTTTCAAGACCTTCGGTTGGGATCATAACAAGAAAATGCCATGAATCTGTAAGTCTGACCAGATATATTTTGGCGATTTAATTGTTGTAAAGTGTAAACAGTCACCCCAAATCGTAACAAGTAACAACTACTTGTATATATGATGAAGCTAACGTTTTATGACTGGACCAAACATGTTCGTAATTCTTTCATCAGCACTAGAAAATATAAACAAAACAAAAAAGTGCCTAGTTGTACAAAAGCAAATATCATAATCATTAGCAGCATCTCTTGAAAGAGTTTCAAAAGAGTAGCAAATTGACAGTATGATCAGTATCAGGATCCAAAATTACAAAGAAGACAGAGCACAGTGTTTGTTAGATCATCAGAAGCAATGGTTTCTCGCCAAATAAATCGAATTATAACGAAGAACATTCATTGCTTTTCTGAGCAAAAGGGTCAAAGAAAAGGAAACCATTCACCGAACCTTCTTTGCTCTTGACTTTCCCAAACGACTGGGAGAAAAGGAAACAACAGAGAAGAGTATACAAGAAAAAGGAAACTTGAATCCCAAACAAACATAGGTCAAAAAAGGAAACAACACAGATGATTTTTAACTAGGGAATTTTGAAACACACACACACAAAATTAATAAAATTTCAACTTTTCATTTATTTATATTTTTAATTGTAAAACTAATTTTTTAGGTTTTATACTTTTACAATTTCAAATTAAAAAATTTTGGATGATAAATGATAAATTGACAATACGACGACTAACGGGATTTTAGATTCCATCATTTGACCTAATCCGTTGATCATTAGTGATTCCACCAATTCAACTTGTTGTTAGCTATGTAGATTTAGCATACAGGTTTCTAATTATAAAAAAGTCCATAGATTTCAAAATTACTTTGCAATTTTCCCCATTTTTTCTTTGCTTTTAAATTTTATAATTTTAAATAATATAAACTATATCGTGGATGGAAAAAAATATTCGAAAACATATATAAAAAATTTATACATCACTATCTATTCCGTAAAATATACTTTTAAAAATAAAAATAAAATTAAAAAAAAACAAAAAAAGTCCCTCGCCCACGAAATTGAACTTTAATTAGGTTGGAGATTGCTTCATTCATCACTATCAGTCTGAGGATTCCCCGGGAAAATAAAGAAACTCTTAGTCACTGCTAAGCGTAATGTGTCTGAGAATCCGACGCTAATGAAGCTCTTCGTCGGTACCAATCTGCTCAGAAACTCTGTTTTCCTCAAGATCTCCCTCTTTGTCTTGATCTCCGTTGCTTGTTTCTTCCTCGGTAAGCATTGGTCTGAGGATGGCTTTCGCCGCCTCCTCTTCTTCTCCGCCGAGCCTTCTCGCTCTTCCATTGTCGCACTCTCTCCTGATTTTGGAAAATCCTATAATATCTCTGGTTTGATCTCCCAGAGTCACCCGTTTTTGCCACCGTCTTTGTCACCACCACCACCACCGCCGCCGCCGCCAGATTCTGTTGACCTGAAGGTGTTTGGGATCGTTAACGAGAATGGAACAATGTCTGATGAGTTCCAGATTGGGGATTACGACGCTGGGTCGGCGGAGACGTTGGGAAATCAGACGGAATTCGAGAGTAGTGATGACGGTGACACTAAAACCACCACGGCCACGGTTACTGTGAGGCAATTCGAGATCTGTTCGGAGGATATGACGGAGTACATTCCTTGTTTGGATAATGTTGAAGCCATCAAAAGGCTCAATTCGACGGCGCGTGGTGAGCGTTTCGAACGGAATTGCCCCAAACAAGGGACGGGATTGAATTGCACCGTTCCTATTCCCAATGGATACCGTTCTCCGATTCCGTGGCCAAGAAGCCGTGATGAGGTATTTGTCAAATCTCTCTCTTCTGATTTTGTCGTTGGTTTGATTTTGTATTCCCAATGGATTGGTTTTTGTTAACAGCTGTGGTTCAACAATGTTCCACATACTCGACTTGTTGAAGACAAAGGTGGTCAAAACTGGATTTACAAAGAGAATGACAAATTCAAGTTTCCTGGCGGTGGTACTCAGTTTATACATGGTGCTGATCAGTATTTGGATCAGATCTCTCAGGTTATATTTGATTTTTATGACTCAACGTGAAAAATATTTGCTTCTTTGGTCACTTCAGTCTGATGTTACTGTTTTTTCTTTTCGTTGCATGTCTAGATGATTCCTGATATCAGCTTTGGTAATCATACACGAGTTGTTCTTGACATTGGATGTGGTGTAGCAAGTTTTGGTGCCTACTTAATGTCGAGAAATGTCTTGACGATGTCCATAGCTCCAAAGGATGTTCATGAGAACCAGATACAGTTTGCTCTTGAGCGTGGTGTTCCTGCAATGGTGGCAGCATTCACAACACGTCGATTGTTGTACCCAAGCCAAGCTTTTGATTTGGTTCATTGTTCAAGGTGTAGAATCAACTGGACTCGTGATGGTATGAAAATCTGTTATCACACTGTTTACTTATTACAAACTTATAGACATAAATCTTGTGTAAATTCAGTTGCACAAACTTTTACCTGTTCCTTCTACCATGGTTAATTTTTGTTTTTGCTCTTTTTTTTTATAAACCATGCTATCGCTCTGTGCCTCCTAGAGTTAAAACTGTGCTCTGCTGACTGATGTGTCATTTAATATCAAAAATTATCAGTAAAAGGTCAAACTGAACACTAAGTATTTCTAAGCTTCTACTGACAGATTCTCATGTATTTTCATTGTCTTTCATATGAAGATGGGATCCTGCTCCTTGAAGTCAATAGGATGCTTCGTGCCGGAGGATATTTTGTTTGGGCAGCACAACCTGTATATAAGCATGAAAAGGCCTTGGAAGAACAGTGGGAAGGTACATTCCATGCAGCTTAATAGTTCATTTCTGCGTTTAAGAAGTGTTGGTTTTAGTGATACAAGCATTCCAACCAAAGCTCTTTTGGTTGAAAACTCTCGAATTTTCTAGGGAGAAAGCTCCGAAAGCTACTACCTACACTTCAGTGCTGAATTTTTTTTATTTTATTTTTCTTGGTCAGTTTGCCTATCAAAATATATTTAGAGCATGTCTTTTCTTTCTGCAAGGATATATATATATATATATATATATATATATAGTCTCTTATTTGAGACCATGCTTGTATGTGATTAAGAAATATTTTTTCATTTTTCCAGAGATGCTTAACCTTACCACTAGACTGTGCTGGGTTCTTGTAAAGAAGGAGGGATATATAGCAATCTGGCAGAAGCCTGTAAATAACACTTGTTATCTAAGTCGTGCTGCAGGAGTCATTCCTCCTTTGTGTGGTTCTGAAGATGACCCAGATAATGTTTGGTATGTTTGTGATACCCTAATATTTTCAATTCTTTTAGCTGCCAAATTAAGAATTCACATTGAGATACTGCTTTGGTTCCCAATCTTGACATTGACGGATTGACCAAGATTTGTTTGATTCTGCAACTTCTTGTATCCTATGATTGTGTCACCTCTAAACTGTTTTTGTGATTAAGTTAGGTACGTAGATCTGAAGGCATGCATCACTAGGATTAAAGAAAATGGATATGGAGCAAATCTTGTTCCTTGGCCAGCCCGTTTGCAGATCCCTCCGGATAGGCTGCAGACAATACAAATTGATTCTTACATTGCCCGAAAAGAGCTCTTTGTGGCTGAATCAAAGTACTGGAAAGAAATAATAGCAAACTATGTGAATGCCCTACACTGGAAGCAGATAGGACTTAGAAATGTCTTGGACATGAGAGCTGGATTTGGCGGGCATGTTTTCTCCTTGCAATGATCTAGTAGACACAACCGAAATGGCTGCTTCATATTTTACTGAATTTTTTCTTCTTTTTTGGCAGATTTGCGGCTGCATTAGCTGATCTAAAGGTTGATTGCTGGGTTCTCAATGTTATCCCAGTCAGCGGTCCGAACACATTGCCTGTTATATATGATCGTGGACTACTAGGAGTAATGCATGATTGGTATAAATACTTCTTACTGCAAATATACAACCGCAAAAGTATAGGATCGTTATCTCTTGCCATGGTCTTTGATTGCTGTTACATTTTCCTCATTCTGAATTCTTTTTGAGGCCATAGATCACACAATAACATTGTATAAAGTGACACCGCTCAAAACATTAATATTTTTCTATTCAGGTGTGAACCTTTTGATACTTACCCAAGAACCTATGATTTGCTGCATGCCGCGGGACTATTTTCCATTGAAAGAAAAAGGTAACAGCAGCCACGTTGTTGTCCATAATGAATTATACTCTTCAATCCTTTTCCCATTGAAGTATTACAAACTTTGTTTTGGTTGGTGGCCTTGTTTAGGTGCAACATGACAACGATAATGCTAGAGATGGACCGGATTTTGAGGCCTGGAGGACGTGTATACATACGGGATACCATCAACGTGATGAGTGAGCTTCAAGAGATTGGAAAGGCGATGAGGTGGCACACGAGCTTACGCGAAACTGCTGAAGGACCTCACGCAAGTTACAGGGTTCTCTTATGCGAAAAGTGGTTTGACTCGTCAGAGAAACATCATACCAAGAAGAAGAGGAAGACAAAAGGAAAAAGAGCTTGAGATATCTATAGAGTACAAGTGTTGGGCAAAAAAATTCTAGGAGTCTTTGATCAATCGTTAGTTTAGTTGGGACTTGGGAGGCTTTTGGAATTTTAGAAAAGTTAGGGACGCTAGAACAAACTCTGTTTCAGCTTGTAAAGTTTTGGTGTTTTAGGTTCCCTCTTTTGATTGAGACCGGTTCAAACTCACTTAACCCATATATATATATATATATCACCTGCTGTTTACATAATCTAGATAGAGTCGGCAAGACACGACACTGGTTGATCCATGATACTTATACGGAATGCTTGTCCATGAAAATACTAATATCTAAATCAATAACAAATGTTGGAAGTCTATATATATGTTGCATAACTGTATTGTACCTTGATTTGTTCAATGATTATTTTTAAAATACAAATGTCAGGAAATTACTGCAGCTTTAAAAACATCACAGAAACAAAAACCAAGGAGCTAAAACCTCATACAACGGATTCTTGCTTTACTAGTAAGTAAAGGAGCGATGAGGGATTTTGGCTACTTAACGTAACTGAAACCGTTGATGGTAAATCCTCCATCAACGGAAATGACCTGTCCAGTAATGTAAGATGCTGCGGGAAGACATAGGAAAGCAACCAGCGACGCGACTTCCTCAGGTTCTCCAACGCGGCCAAGTGGGGTTCGTGAGACTACGGCCTCCAAATAATCTTGCTTCTCAAGTAGCTGCATAAGAACATCATAACAATAGTATTATCTTTAGTTTTGTTCTGATATTCACATAACATCATTCAATGTTCCTTTTCAGTAAAACCAATCAGGTTACTAATGAATTTTGATACAGTCTCAGTTTAAACATTTTTGTTCGCCTTAATTTATGCCAACACTATTTTTCTCTTACAACTTAAAAGTCTAAGAATCTAAGTGAAACACTGTACCATACGCATTAGTTTAGGTAAAGTAGAGCATAGGAATTGATACCGATTCCACAAGTGAGGTCTTGATGTACCACGGCGCTACGCAATTGGTTCTGATGTTGTCGCTTGCCCACTCACAAGCTAGATTTCTTGCAAGCTGATTAAGTGCTCCTGAAAAACAACAGTAATTTGATCTACTTTTACGTTTCTTTATTTTTGGTTTCTCTGAATAATGAAGACCATAGACTCACCTTTAGTAGCAGCATAAATAGATCCACTGCAACGCACCAGACCAGCAACGGAGGAAATGAACACAATGTTTCCGACTCCAGAAGCTTTAAGAAGAGGATGAGCAATTTGGGATAAATGGAAAGCAGATTCTAAGTTAGTCGTCATGATATTTGCATATTCCTCGCCTGAGTAGTCGACAGTTGGTTTCCTGATATTAATTCCAACATTGTTTATCTGAATGACAAAAAAAAAAATGTTGAGAAATTTTCAGGTGGGTGAAACATATGGAAACTATTTCAAGATCAACGACGATCCTGATCACAATGCTGAGAGAAAAAAAGAAAAAAAGAAAAAAAAAAAGAGAGTCAGTTTGAACAATATCTTGCAAGAGAAGGGAACTTACAAGGATGTTGAGCTTGCCACTGAAGGTGGAAGACACTTCCTGAATCAACTTATCCCTCTGATTCCTAACTGAAGCATCACAAACCGAGCCAGAAACCACTAAACCACTGGATTTCCAATCATCCAAGCATGCATCTAGCTCTTCCTGGCTCCTTGAACAAGTATAAACTTTTGCACCAAACTTTGCAAGTTCCTCCACTACTGCTCGCCTAAAGAGTATATTATATACCCCAGAAGAAATCCCAGAGAATTATTAATTCAATACTCATTCTATTCATATGTTGCCAGGGGAAAGTCAATCTGGAGGTACAACAAACAGTTTTATCAAACAAACCCATAAGAATCAATCACTATACACAAGTTTAGAAACAATCACAGAATAAACTAAACCATGCAGCCAAAAACAACTCGGAAACGGAAAAACGTCGCAAAGTTTGACAGCCGTGGGATGGAAGCGAATTGACAAGAGAAGAGAGAAAAACCCGATTCCACGAGTACCGCCGGTTACCAGAGCCGTTTTCCCGGCGAGGGACCATCTTTTGTCAGTCTCCATTGTCACGCTCACGCTTTCTCCTCCAGGATTCTCACACTATCTTCCCGGGTGCCTCGATTCAACTCCGCCGGCGGAAATACTACTATTGAGCCTCAATTCACGATAGGCAACATTATGATCTCACGGCCCATTTATGATCTAACGGCCCATTGAGTTTATGAAATTAACAACTTCGGGTGAGATAAGATATTCTCTTAAGCAAAATCTTCCTCTAAGATATCCTCGTTAAGGATGCCCTAATAGTATATTGGATTGAAGATTTCACCAAACTTTTTCATCATCTCTTCCCAGCATTTGTCGGAAGTCTTAACCAAAAGAAAAAGAAAATGGTAAAACTCCCAAGTTTTTCACTCCCAAGTTCTTCACCTGTTTAATCTACATGAGCCGGTGCATTTGATTTATTCACTGACCATTTTTGTAATACAAATGTGATGACATTACAGAACTTTAAAGACGTTTTATGATACAAATGTGAGGATACTACACAACTTTAAAAACGTCACAAGAACTAAACAAAACCAAAGAAACAAAGACAAACGAGACCAACGAGCAAATACCTCAGAGAAAGGATTCTTGCTTTATTAGTAAAGTGGCAATGAGAGGTTTTGGCTTACTTAACATAGCTGAAACCGTTCACTGTGAATCCTCCATCAACGGAAATGACCTGTCCGGTAATGTAGGAGGCTGCTGGAAGGCAAAGGAAAGCAACCAGCGACGCGACTTCCTCTGGTTCTCCAACCCTCCCAAGTGGGGTCCGCGATACTATGGCCTCCACAAATTCTTTCTTCTCAAGCAGCTGCATAACAGCATAAAAGAGAACTCTGATTATCTTCTGATATTGACATACATTATCCAATGCTTCTTTTTGGTCAACTGTGTTATAATTTTGATTTGCTATTAGTTTAAACATTTTGGATAGGTTTGATTTATATGCGGACCCATACTCTTTTTTCTCCTACAACTTTATCAATCTAAGTGAAACAATGTTCCATATGCTAAATCTTTAGGGCATAGTAGAGTATAGAAACAATACCGATTCCACCAGTGAGGTCTTAATGTACCATGGTGCCACGCAATTAGTTCTGATGTTGTCACTTGCCCACTCGCAAGCTAGATTTCTTGTAAGTTGATTAAGCGCTCCTGGGAAAACAACCCCAATGTTACCTACTTTTACTCTCTTGTATTTTTGGGTTTCTCTGAATAAAAAACATTGGCTTACCTTTAGTTGCACCATAGATAGCTCCACTGGAAAGATGCACCAGGCCAGCAACAGAGGAGATGAACACAATGTTTCCGACCCCAGATGCTTTAAGAAGAGGATGAGCAATTTGGGATATATGGAAAGCGGATTCTAAGTTGGTCGACATGATTTTTGCATATTCCTCGCTTGAGTAATCAATTGCTGGTTTCCTGATATTAGTTCCAACATTGTTTATCTGAATACAAAACAAAGTTGAGAAATTTTCAGAAAGGCAAAGAACGGATTCAAACCCTTATACTTGTTCCAGTAATGTTAACCATGTTATATAACATATCTTGCATAATAGATGGGAGTTGCATGATGAGATCAACAAGCATCACTATATGGTACAGCAAAAAAAATGTAAGCCTTACATTACATGTATTGAATTGACAGAAGAAAGCTAAAATTCAAAGCAAAAACACCACAAGTCTAAACCATTTCAATGCTAAGACCAAAAAAATATAGAAACCTGATCAAAAGTATGTGAGATTGGTTCAAAAATTGTTCTACCTGATACAAATACAAGGATACCGAGCTAATGCGTTTTATGATTACACGATTGGTGATGTGTAGAACCTCATCAAAAAAAACAACAAGGATGAGAAGAGAACTTACAAGGATGTTGAGCTTGCCGCTGAAGGCAGACGAAACATCCTGAATCAACTTATCCCTCTGATCCCTAACCGAAGCATCACAAACCGAGCCAGTCACCACAAAACCATTGGATTTCCAATCATTCAAGCATGCATTTAGCTCTTCCTGGTTCCTTGAACAAGTATGAACCTTTGCCCCAAACCTTGCAAGCTCCTCCACAACAGCTCGCCTAATGAATTATATTACCCCAGGGGGAAAAAACAATACCATAGATTACGAATTCAATATACTCATACAAGCAAATTACGAATTCTTCATTCATTATATCACCAAAATCAGAAATCGGAGAATCTAGAGGAGAGACAAACCCGATTCCACGAGTCCCGCCGGTTACCAGAGCGGTTTTACCGGCGAGTGTCCACCTTTGGTTAGTAGTCTCCATTGTCACGCTCACGCACTCTCCTCCTTGGAATCTCTTGTGTGAGCTGTGAGCATCAGTGAACTAAACCGACGGTTGAGATATTCCTACTGGGCCTCGACTCACGATGGGTCCATTTATTATGTGCTCACAGCCCATTATGTTCATTATACAATCATCTACCTTAACAATAAAATAATATTTTAATTTTGCAAATTATAACCATAAAAAAAAAATGTAATTTTTATTTCTTTTAAGGGGGGTGATACTCCCATTTGACTTTGGATGCATATTGATGCACACGGTTTCTGAAGGTGTAGTTGTAATGCGAAGAAGCAGAACAAAGAGCCAGAAAAGGAAAGTGCATTGAAACAAGAGGCAAAAGAAAAGGTTACTATATTAGTAAATTCTAATGGACAAATCATTTTGTTTCTTTTTTTAAAGAGCTAACCAGAAAAAATGAATGTTGATGAATAATGAGAAAAGGAAGCATGAGCATGTGCATTCTGAACTATCCTTTAAAAGCTCTCGCTCTCTCTCTATTATATCTTTGTTTTACACTAAAGAAGTCACCTATTTTGCAACTCTATCTCCCAACCTTTCACTTTCCTATTGTATGCATTCTTGACATATATAAAATAAGACATAATTCTTAACACAATAGATATGTAATGATGGCGCAACTTCAAGTTGAGTTTCTTGAATGGGAAAGCAATGACAACAGAGAATTTAGACTTTTTCACTTTACATGTTTGTGTATATAGGTGTTGTATCTCAAAATTACTTTGTGGGGGGGGGGGGGGGTACAATCAAAACACAGATATGTGTAAATACAACTGGAGAGTTTCAAAATACTGCATCAAAAACATAAATTGTATTGTTTGGCTAGAAATTAAAAAATAAACCACCAAATTATCCTTAAACTATAAAAAAAAAAAAAAAGAGGGAATTAATTAAATAGAAAAAGAAAGAAAGTGAGAATAAGAAGAAGAGCACATTGAATATTCAGAAGCAGAGTTTCCTAAAAGAGGAAATGATGTAACGGCGGGTGGTTACAAGTTATGACATAAATTCCTTTTTTACATTTTCTTTGTTGAGTTAACTTCTCCTTCTACACTTTGCAGCTACAGAGCAGAGTCTGTGGGTTCTTTTCAAATTCTCTGTCTCTTTTTTTTATTAATTTTAAACTGAAGATCAGTTTGGTTTGGATGCTTCGTAATATTTCATGAGGTTTCCTCTTTTAGACAACGTTGAAATACGATGCCTCTCCCTTTTCAAACCATATTTTTCCTTTATAACCATCGGTTTCATTCTTTCTTTCTCTCTTTTTTCTTTTCTTTTCTTTTCTTTCCTAAATGTTATTTGTAGCATCGATTTCACGTGTGAGCTTTCACATTATGTTTCGAGATCAACAAATATAGCTCATATATATTAGTATATATATAAATAAAAAGAGTTCAACATACAAACGTTAGCGTATGTTTATATAAGGAGCTGTAAATTGTGAAAAGACCACTCTCACTTCCTCCTATTAGATTTTTTACCCTTCTCCTCGTAGTATTATAGTCCCATACAGTCAGAACAGATTACATGTATATGTATGTGTTATAGTATGTTCGTATCTGTTGGTTTGATGTGAACAAACAATAATCATCTGTTCCCGCATATGCACATTACATTTCTATTTAATTCCACCATTAATATTTTCATAGTCCATTTTCCTGTTTATCAAGAGAAATATTGAAAAAACAAAGAACACTGTTCAGTATATGTTCTCTCTGATACAATTTTTATTGATTTGTATAACTACAAAAGTTAACTAGTTAGAAAAGTAAATTTCGAGGTTCCTACTATTTCCAAACATATAAAAACACAATGATCAATACTGTTTTCATGTGCCAACCACTGATATAGCAATAGATGTACAAATAATGCTAATTTAGATTTGGACATCTGTAAAAGCTTATAGTAAACATTGATTATGTTTCCGCTATTTACAAGTATAAGACCCAGTTATAGGCTATATATATACACTATATATCAGCTCTTAAGATCATTACAGTAGCTAGCTAGGTTAAACAATTTATACTAGTTTGTTTCTTATTTTTATGTTTTCGTTGTAATACTATATGATAATCCCGTCTCTAATTTCTCCTACAGCTATCGGCAGTTCACATGGAATACTAGGGTTAGTAATTTTCATCAACGTTATCTTTTTTTTTTTTTTTAATTTGCCAACCAGTGATTTATTATTTAAGTTTTTCATCACCAAGAAACTCAATCAACTACAATCTTTCGAAGAGGATGGGCATAAATTTTGAAAACCAAATCAGTGAGAAAGTTACATCATTTAGTAATAAGAAAATTAAAAAGAAAAACAAAATATCTAGATTATCTTATATTGAATTACAGCAGAGACTTAATGTGTTGACTTTTTTTTTCCATAAGATAAAAATATTACTATATCAAAGCCAACACTACAGAACCTACTCTCTTTTCACTCTTGAGATTAGAGACAGTTTAACTTCTTCTTTTTGGCAATCTCATTTAACTATTAGGACTTAGGCTAGTTAACCTTTGGCGGATCAGCTCCTAGCCTTAGCTCAAGATCCAACTCATCGTGATGACCGTTGATCTTGGAAACTCCAATGACCAGCCCTAACATCATTGGAAATCTTGAAACATCCGTCTTTGCCTTCTTCCATGACGAAGATGATCCGTTAAATAGTTGCTTCTTCCGTGGACCAAACTCAGAACTCAGTAGACCGACAGATAAGTCAGTCTTGACTTCACCTTTGTCATGCTCAAATCTTTTGGTAGGATTTTCTAAAACGTTGTTATTACAGACAATACTTATCTCTCTCTTAGTTCCATTAGGCTTTCTTAATTCTTCTTGGACAAGAACCTTCGATCCCACGTCAAGAACTTGTTGCGGTTGTTGTTGATGGCGATCGTATTCAGGAGGCGTGGCTTGGTCAGTTGATGACGGTGATAATGATTGTTGTTTGAGTCGAGCTCTGTCTCTTCGATGAACGTTCATGTGACCGCCTAGTGCTTGCGCCGACTTGAACTCTCTCCCGCAAAAGCTGCATGAGTAAGACCTCGGCGGCCACATGCAACCGCCTCCGCCGCCATACTCCTCAACCGCTCTCTCTTCCCCAAACGGCCAGAAGGAAAGCGCGTCTGAAGATGGTTTCGTCACCACCGGTCTAAGCTTCATCGACATCAAGCATTCTCCTCTTTCCATCACACACACACACGGACGCATATATATAAGTAGAAGATGATTAATTAAGAGAGTTTTTTGTTTTGTTTTGAGGGAGAGAAGTATGTAGACTTACACGCACGTCGACATATATAAAGAGAGACGCATATAGATATATGTGTATGTGAAAGTATATGGTTAACGCATTGAATGTGAGAAAGCTACGTCGAGAACCATGAGTAAATAGGGAGAGACTTTGATGGGGAAAGTTCTCTTTTACTTTAGTTACTCGTATGTCTTCACTCTATATTAAATATTTTGATATGAATAATTAGTTGGCGAGCTTTGATTCGATAGTAGCTAAATTAATGCCAAACGCAGCTTAAGTTTTCCACGAGTCTACAAAATTAATAAGTTGATTAGAGTCGATATATTTATAATAACCCCCTAATAATATGACAAAAACGATGGTTTAATTTGAAATATATGTATTGGACAACAACATGTTAGTTTTATGGAGTCTAAAACATACACCATCTTTTGTATGTGGCTGTGTTGTGATGACTACAGTAGACCAACAGATTAATTTATTATTTATATGATCTAGTCTAGCTAATAAGACAATGGAGCCGTGGGATAGTGATATTAAATTATGCTATCTTGTGATTATCTACAATTATTATACAGATGATAAGTAGAGATCTTCGCCTGAAATTAAGAGTATTTTTATAAAGATGTTGATTGAAGGACTCATATATCAAGAGGTTTCTACCTATAATTTGTCTCCACATTACGGGTTTTCAGACAGTACGATAGAAAAATACAAAACGAGATTGGAGTACAAAGTATCCAAACTGAAGTTACTTAATTAGAACGCCAAAATATAAGAGATAATATACTATTGTCATAAGAAAAAATGTGATAACATGACTTTCATTTTCGATTGTATATTATTGTTTTTTTGCAGTTGAGTGATTTTGTTGAGTAAAAGTAAAAAAACACACTGCCTGATGATATATGTGGTTTCATTTTCGATTGTAGGACTGCCTGTGTGGCTGAAGCAAAAGTAACATATCTATAGAGGATTTTGGGCTTAAGGTGGCGGCTTAGACTTAGATGAGCCAATGGGCTCCTAAGAAAATACCAGACTTGGCTCCTTAGAAAATACTAGAGTTTGATATTGGATCTACATAGAAATTTCTAGCATACGCTAACTAAGATGATAACTACATTAGATATAAATTGATGTAGTGTTGCTTAGCAAACATATTTCGATTTACATTGATGTGGTGTTGCTTGCTTAAAATGACATTTCGAAAGACTATATGCTTATCAATCATACCAAATTGATGGAATTAGCCGTCTCTCTTATAATCAAATAAAAATTCAAGCATTCCCATAGGTAATTAATGATTAATTTTGTCTGTCAATAAGTCAAAATTACCAACAATGTTAGTTACAAATTAGGCTCATTACTACATAGTGAATATCTTAAAAGTTCAAAACATGAGAATAAGTTTTTTTCCTGGATCAACCATGAGAATAAGGTTAAAACCAACATTTCTCCTATCAAAGATAAATAGTACTATATCAGATCAATTAGAGCATAACCCAATGAGAAACAGACATTTTTACATATAGAGAGACCCCTCTCACTTAAAACGAAATACATATTCTTTAATAATCCAATTTTAATTGGAGAATTAAGATCTTCTTAATTAATCCTTAGCAAATTGCATATGACAAATAACGCGAATGCAAATAAAACGACCGAAACAAGAAACAAATTAAAACAAAACCATGCATGCTAAATTGCTAATGCTCCACCCATCTCTTCTAATAATACATAGAATTGCGCATTCTTTTATGGATCCATCATTTATAGTTCGCGTCTAGTTTTGTGATGCGTAGTAATAATAATCCGTGTTCTGAAGCCATGTATGATTCACGACCATTTCATCTGAGTTCATGAAGAACCCATCAACACAGTTTCTTCCGTCGTCATGATTGTTCCAAACACTGATCTCGTCGACGAAATTGGTCGTATCCACTGTTGTCACCTGATTCACAAACTCCGGTACGTTGGTATTAAGGTGTGAACCGTTTTGATTAGAGTACGATAAGTTCGTCATCTGTGATCCAAGAAACTCAATTTCTTCTTGTAAACTCACAACCTAATCAACCAAACCCACCAAGCAACGTGATCAGTCTGTTTCAAGAAAACAAAAAAAAAACCCTAACTTATAAAATTAACAATATCGTTAAAAGGTTAAAAATACCTGTTGATGAAGAGCGAAGATGTGAGCAACGCAGCCATAAACAGGATCACGCATGCGAGAGAGAGCCTCGTAGGAGATAGTGATAGCAGCGACGCTTCGTTGATGAAGAGGCAACTGAAGTAAATGTTTCGAGACATTGCTTGCGCCAAAGACTTTGTGGACCGCTGCAAAATGGGATGAAGCTTGTTCGTAGCTGAAGTAAGGAGAGAAGACGCAGTCGCAGGTGCACTTCCTCCTTAGGAACTTGCATGCTCCACATGATGATGATCCATGACCTGCCATTTCTTTTTTTCTGTTAATTTGCTTTTACTCTGTTTTTTGTTTTGTGGTTTTTCTTTTAACCTTTTGTTAGATTGAGACAAATCACGTCGGTTTATATAAGCCCCACCACTAAAAGTTCTTGAAAGAAGGGCAAAAGAGTTTTTGAGATAAACATCTATCACTTTTGTATCTTTAATATATATATATTTTTCTGTACTTAAATGATCATTCTCATGGCTAGTTGAAAGGTACAGTTTCATAAAAATTACAATTTAATCACGATTATCACAGAATAGTTGTAAATCACTAAAACATACGGTTTTAGTACATGTATTTTTATATGGAATTTACTGACTACTTGCATGGGTTATTCAAAATTTTTAATTTTTAATTTATTTGGATCAGTATTTTTTTTTCCCTGTAAAACCAACATGATTCAATGCTTGTCATCCTCCAAAGTAATTCTTCTTCGTTTAGATTAATATCATATGTAATATTCGTTTTAACATTTTCATTTCCTTAAAAAGAACAATTAGTATAAAATTCAAGTTTTATTGATGATACAGGCCAGTTACATGTGGCCGCTCGCACTGCCGCAGTATTTGGATTTTCTTACATATATACAAAATGTAGTTACGTACGTAACAGAAAGATTAGAACCGGATACAAATAACAAACCTATTCGAGTGAGTACGTCTAACTTTGAGAGAGTCTACTCCTAATTAAATCCTATCTACTAGTATAAAATTGGTTTATCTTAATTTCTTGGGGACTGCGTCGTGGCCTACATTTTCATGCTTGTTTTGGGCAAGCACTTGTATTTTTTAATGGCTTAAAGCCCCTTTCAAATTTTCTTCAAAAGTTATTATAATAATTATGTTTTGGCTAAATTCGTCTTTCTTTCCTTAGTCATCTATTGTTACACTAGTCTTTAGCCTTTAGGGAAATGATAAAGTATTGGCTGGGATCCAAATGCAGCCATTTTGCATGGTGATTCAAACAAAAAAGGTACAGTATCTTAGAAATTAGAAAGGTCAATCCCCCCTCCCCCATCAATTTGTTGTACATTGAACTTATTGATGAAGCCAATTTAGGTTTTTCTTACGCTAAGTAAACCTAGAGATACTACCATCAAATCCAAAAAAAAAAAAAGAGCTGTTTTAATGTCACGATCTGATTTAAAAAAAAAAATCCTATGAATGAGGGAACTCTTATGTTATAAAATCTATGATAATGAGCAATACTCTCGGAACATATATAGAGTTTCTGGTGTGGTCCGATCGAAGAAATATATCAAGAAGTTGTTGCTCCTTTTCTCCCTTTCAATACAATGTTCAATTAAGGAGATTATTGCTAATTATGATAGATAAAATACCAACTTTATCATTCAAAATAAATTTTTAGTTTTTAATATATATATATAGTTCTATGCAAGTGGGAATCAAACTCTGTCTAAATTCGAAATTAATCAAGCCCGCATCTATATGCCAGCACTGGCCACTCGGGGCACTACGTACTTGAATTAAAAACACATATTGGAATTACTAATTTCGAAAAATTACTATTCGGGTTAAGATTATAGAGGTCATGAATCATCCTCTCCTATATCTACGTTTGTCTTGATAGATCAATAATTAATTTTAACCTGCTAACGTTCAGTATCTTGTTTCATAATCAATATTAATATAAATGGCGCTTTCTTTGTTTGCCACTTATTGTATTGGGTGCGCAATATAAGAAAATGAAACACCAAAAAGACGGCGACTATGACCCAAGTGCCAATAATATTATTGAACATTGTACTGTTCTAAGTGCTCATAAACCTCAATTAGATTTTTTCTTCTTCGTAATTTTAAAGCATTCTAAAACACATTTTATTATTGGTTTCCAAAATTAGGAACTTTTTTATATAATCAGTTGTTAATTAAGGAAACTTTCTTCAATTCCTAAACTACATATTCTTACAGGGTTTCTAAAAACAAGACATTTCTAGCTAGTAACGGTTTCATAATAATATAACGGAACTCGAAATACCGAATGGATAACAATGGCAGACAATGACCCAAATGCTCATAGCATATTGCAAAACATGTACTTGGATACAGCTTTGAGAAAGATGTAGTTAAGCACAGAAGAAAGAAAAGAGACACAAAAGGTAAAGAGTTGATGCATTGGGATTGAGATGAATGAGGCGTTCACAGATGGTACTTTTAGACTTTCTAGCTAGCTATACAACGTTTGTCTTTAATCACGCATGCAATCATATAACTAATGCCATTATTTTAATACTACAAATTATAACTTTAACCTTTTATTCTTCATTTATATATATGATGTTATATGTGAACCCTACGAGCCTTGTCTTCCTGTCGGTGTGTCATTAGCCTCGCTAATAAACTCTCCTTTTATTGATCTTTTGGTTTTTGTGGGTCTTAAGCCTATCGCCCAACTGGTGTCCTCCACGTATTGTCCTATGGACTAAATTATGAAAAATATATATATACATGCATGTAAGCTTCTAGAACTTCTTTAGTAGTTATAAATAAATAATACCACAACAAAAAACAGACAGACAAGAAAAAAACTGAAATATTCTTTTTGCTATCATTGTGACCGGTTACGGAACGGTTGAAAAAATATTTGCTGTAGTCGACATTTCAAATATGTGGGATATATGGCTATGGGTTAGATCTTGAACTGGTTTAGTAGTCGTCGATTAATAGAAGAGTGAATTGTTTATGCGTCTTTATGAAGAATATGTATCGTTTGACTAGTATTTATAAGTATATAACTGCATGCAAGTTGCTAAATTTCCAACCTAATTTCAGCTAACATAGTGTTACTCATGAATAAGATAGAGAACAGTTATATAACCAAACAAAACAAAACAAAAGATAGAGAAGTACAATTGGAAGAAAAGAAAAAAACTCGTACAAGTCTATTTTAAATAAATAAAAAATCTACGTCAAAGGACTAATGAAATGTGGGAACTTTTAAACTAAGGAAATATGGTCAAGTAGGGTAAACCATTTTCATTTTGTTATTGGCCATTATGCCTCTTGGTGCGCCCATGGTAATTTTGATATTAACCCAACATATTAACAATTTAGCGGAAACATTATGACATGTATTAATGATTGGCGAGGGCTTGAGACCAAATATACACTGTTCACATAATGACATAATTATTATAAATTTCTAATAGAATCATTCAATGTTTTCCACTAATTGTACTTGGCAAATAAATGTTCAAATTAATAGTTTTTATTGGAAAAATTATATTATAAAATCCACCATAAAGATTTTTCTGTAAAAAGAAAAGACCAAGATTACCACATTTGATACACAAAACTAAACCACGCAAGCAAGCACATAATAATTTGATGCGATGTGAAATCTGTCAAATCAGTTAAATAGATAGAACCGATCGATCATTCAGAAACGTACTGTTCCGTATGATGTGACGGGATGGTAATTATGTCCATCATTATTTAAAACCTCCGTAACAAATGAGTTAATAATACACACATATGCCAATAATATCTATTCTCATAATCACCACACACGTACACGTCACACGTGTAAACATATATGAACATACATTCCAAAATGTAAGCGCAAGCGCATACATATATAAAAATAATAAGGTCAGCGACTTATACCACCATCAACGCTGGGTTGTTAGGTGATTCTTAGGCGAAAAATTCTTGGGTTCACCTCTAGGAGTGAACCCATCTCATTCACCCCCTCTAAGCTAACCAATCAAAATATAATAATGTGCCATGTCATTTTTTATTTAAAAAATAAATCAAAATTAAAATCATAAAATAAAACAAATTAAGGAAACAAATTCTGTAGAATTTTTATTTAGGAAATTTTATTTGGTTTGAGTTTATAAAATAATGGTTAGGGTTTAGATTTTATAAATAGATGAATTTATTTTTTGGTTTGGGTTTATAAATAGTGGTTACGGTTTATATTTTCTAAATAAACAAAATTATATTTCGGTTTGGGTTGATAAAATAGTGGTTAGGGTTTAGATTTTGTAATGAAACGAAATTATATTTTGGTTTGGGTTGACAAAATAGTGGTTAGGGTTTAGATTTTGTAATTAAACAAGTTTATATTTTGGTTTGGGTTCATAAATTAGTACTTTAGGGTTTAGATTTTATAAATAAACTAAATTATATTTAAGTTTAGGTTAATAATATAGTGGTTAGAATTTAAAGTTTGTAATTAATAAGATAAATTATTTTAATTTATTTAATTAGATGACATGGCTAATTTTGATTGGTTAGCTTAGAGGGGGTGAATAAGATAGGTTCACCCCTAGGGGTGAACCCAAGAATTATTCTTCTTAGGCTAATCTTAGGCTAAATTTAAATCAAAATACAATTAATAACATAAGAACCGTATATTATATAAGCTCAAAATAAGAGTGGGAGAGGTGCATACGTGGCAAGCTAGGATTGGCTTTGTTGATAAATATATTAATGATTTTTTTGCATCATTTTTCTTTCTTATTTCTCTCTCTCTCTTTTCTCTCTCTCTCTTCGCGAAAAAGAAAAACGAAAAGATTTCTTTAATCTACATTTTTCTTTCTTCTTTCTCTCTCTCTCTTTTCTCTCTCTCTTTTCTCTCTCTCTTTCTCTCTCTCTCTTTGCAATAATTATTAAGTTTTTAAAATTATAAAATTTTTAATTAAAAAAAAAAGTTATTTAATCTTAAGATCCATTAGTTAAGAACCCACCAATGATCTTGCATAAAACCATATAAACTTAATTCAACTTTTTAACATCACTTTACTCAATTAAATTACTAAATATATTTAAGGATTCATTTTTTAAGGATTCCCATTGATGATGCTCTTATTATTTATGATCTTCGTGTATTTAGGTGTACACGTGACCTAATTTTGGCGCATCCCGACCAAAGTCCGGGAAAACGAGTTGGTGAAAGTTTAGCCATCAAAATATTTCGATTTGTTGGTCTTAATTCTTAAATACTTACGTGTATAATTTTAATAAATTTTATAAAAGAGGAATTTCAGAAAAAGAACAAAAAATGTCAATAGAAAGGGAAACAGAACACGTACGTACGTGAAGTTCTGTATGGTGTTCATATTTATTCTACGTATAGAAATACATTGACTTAAAACTAATTCTTTGAATTAATGCGTTTATATACAAAGAAAGGAAAACAAAAAAAAAAAGTAGTTGTGAAACTGATAAACTGCCGTGTTACATTGCATTAGAGACAAATGTTCCCACCCAACCTTATAAAAACGAACTTTATAATCCACTATTTTCATATTCAAACAAATTAAAAACTCAAGAGAGACACACACACACCCTAAGAAAAGAAACAAATTAAGCTGTGATGGAGTCATCGACGACAACATCGTATTCGGTTGTGTCAGAGCTAGAAGGAACACTACTCAAAAACCCAAAACCCTTCGCTTACTTCATGCTCGTGGCGTTCGAAGCTTCAGGTCTAATCCGCTTCGCGATCTTGCTGCTTTTCTGGCCAATCATAGCACTCCTTGATGTTTTGGGTTACAGAAACGGTAGCCTAAAGTTTATGATATTTGTTGCAACTGCCGGCTTACACGAATCAGAGATTGAATCAGTTGCTCGAGCCGTTCTTCCCAAATTTTTCATGGACGATATCAGCATTGACGCTTGGAGACCGTTTGGTATGTGCGAGAAGAGAGTCGTTGTGACAAGAATGCCACGAGTTATGGTGGAGAGATTCGCTAAGGACCATCTTAGAGCCGATGAGGTCATTGGTACGGAGATTGTCGTAAACCGTTTTGGTTATGCCACCGGTTTGATTCAGGATACCGATGTGGATCGATCTGTTTTCAACAGTGTGGCTAACTTGTTCGCTGTCGGGAGACCTCAACTAGGTCTAGGAAGACCGCCTATCTCAACCTCTCCAACTTTCCTATCGCTATGTGAGGTGAGTACAAACAATAAAACGTTAAAATATATATTTTGTTTAAATATATATAATTAAGGAAAAACGTTACGATGATTAATTCTTCTAATTTTATGTCTATGTAGGAACAAGTTCATGCACCAGTTCCATCAAACTACAATTGTCATAACCAGGGGCTACATGTGCAACCGTTACCAGTTATCTTCCACGATGGACGTCTGGTGAAGCTGCCGACACCAGCCACGGCACTTGTTATCCTTCTTTGGATCCCCTTCGGAATAATCCTGGCCATGATTCGGATCTTTGTTGGGTTCTTGCTCCCGTTATGGGCCATACCTTACGTCTCACGTATATTCAACATTCGATTCATCGTAAAAGGAAAGCCTCCGGCACCAGCATCCGCCGGAAACCCAGGCGTACTATTTGTATGCACTCATAGAACCCTAATGGATCCGGTCGTATTATCCTACGTGCTAGGGCGTAGCATCCCTGCCGTTACCTATTCGATTTCTCGGTTATCCGAGATCTTATCTCCTATTCCGACCTTTAGGTTAACTCGAACTCGAGAAGTAGACGCTGAAATGATCAAGAAAGAGTTATCTAATGGAGACTTAGTGGTTTATCCTGAGGGAACCACTTGTCGCGAGCCGTTTTTGCTGAGATTTAGTGCGCTTTTTGCAGAATTAACGGATAAGATCGTGCCCGTGGCAATGAACTATAGAGTTGGATTCTTTCATGCGACTACCGCTAGAGGCTGGAAAGGTTTGGACCCGATCTTCTTTTTCATGAACCCGAGACCGGTTTATGAGGTGACGTTCTTGAACCAGCTCGAAGTGGAGGCCACATGTTCGTCAGGGAAGAGCCCTTATGATGTTGCCAATTATGTACAGAGAATCTTGGCCGCTACGTTAGGGTTTGAGTGCACTAACTTCACAAGGAAAGATAAGTACAAGGTTCTCGCAGGGAACGACGGAACCGTGTCGTATTTGTCCATTCTCGACCAAGTCAAGAAGGTTGTCACCACTTTCAAGCCATTTTTCCATTAAATTTCTGTTTTTTTTCATTATTAATTAAGTAATTAATTTCTAAATTCTGTGATCACTGATTACATACATGTTTTTGAATTTTCATTCTTTGGATTTGTTTTGCTGGAAGTAGATGACTACATGTTTGTGTATTTTCTTCGTTTATGTATATCACAATTCAATATAACCTTTTCATTAAAAGTTAAAATTAAATAAATGACAAACGTCTTTACATGTTGTCCAAGAGAAATAACTGAACCATCTACCGAACAGTCGGGCTCTTGACCAATGTGGATTTGGACAATACTGTGTATCAACGTTATGTATATAAATGGTCACGACTACCGATCACACACGTCTAGTTTTCAGGTTGTCAATGTGGATACATTTACTATTACTAATCTCTGTAGGCGTTATCACTTGCGTACTACTTAACAAAATAAACTAAACAAAGAGAATACGGGATAATACAACTTTAATTCATAACATTAATTTACATACAAATCACTCAAAAATAATTCATTATTCATGTTTTGTTAAGTGTAAGGAGAATTAAAGTATGCCTCGAAAAGTGTCATTTTCTAACTACTTGTAATTTATTTTGGTTGTGTAGACATCACATCTTTAAGAATGTGTAGACAACAATAATCATATAATTAAATGGTGAGATAATAACGGTTGGCATTGCGAAGACGATTTGTAGTTTGGTGGGGGTAGATTAGAAATTGATTTAAGGAAACTTAAGCTGCATATATACTTTTCGATCATTCAATATTAATTGCTTATTTAGTTAGATAATGACAAACTCTTTGACCGCAAGACTTATAGCTGCCACCTTCCCGTTAGAGTGTTGGCCAACTTCATATTTGCCACACCAACAATATAATTATTAGTATAGCTTCGCAGACCGATTAAAATAAAAGAATAGTTTTAGGTGGATAATAACAAATGGATTGGAGTTTATAAACAGAGCCATGTATAATTTATATATAAGAAAGAAAAGACAAAAAGACTGATCACTAATCTCTAGCAAAAGACCATTTTGCTGAGTCTGTTATGAATGTTTTAACACGTGGCATCATCTGGTGTCAAGCTTTCGTAAGCCCAGTGCTGTCTTTTTACGGGAATACGTACATATATATACGTATATAAACAAAACATACGACAGAACATGAAATGAGATAAAGAGAGGGATGACCAAAGAAGCCTGCAAAAACAAAAAACCTGATAAACTCAAGCCCACCAAAAAGCCTGCAAAAAGGTGACCAAATTCTTTCTTACAAGTTTTTTTTTTTTTTTTTTTTTTCATCTGAATAATTCATAAAACACATCAACGTTTTTACAAAAGTACAAAGGCTAAAGAGGAAAAGGATCCTAAACAATCATCAACAGAGAGTAAACAAAAACATTACACTTATGTAATGTACATCTCTTCGGTGAACACCTCATGAAGCCATGAAGGGTAGCTTGATGCTACGTATGATTGGCTACGATCCTCTCTTATCACACTTTGAGCAATAAGGAAAGCTCCTTTGTTAGCACTTTTATTTTCTTTAAGTAATCTCCAAAAAGGAATCTGAGTTAGATCACCTAAAATAACTTCCGATTGATACTTGAAGGCTGGCCATGCATGAGGTCTAGAAACCGCATCCACTAAGTCCTTTGCTTCCACTGCAAAGATGACTCTTATAACTTTGAGGCTTCTCATACTCTCAATCGCCCAACGCCAACAGCAAATCTCTGCATCATTTTTTGAGTCCATGAAACTAAAGCTTCTTCTACTGTGGAGAAGAACTGTACCTTCAGAATTTCTGAGAACCCAAGCAGCTCCTCCTCTTTTCTTCTCTTTATCCCACAAGGAGGCAATGTTACATTTGAGCCATGGCTTATCCGGAGGTCGCCAAGAATTCTTATAGATTGTGGACTTTGCAACCTCACCACTTACTTCCTCTTGTTCAACTTGTTGGGCTAAAAACCAAAGATCAGTATCCTCCCTAATCTTCCTAACCATCTCCTTTATCATGAAAGTCATTCCTTCAAAAACTAGAGAGTTCCGATTTTTCCATAATAGCCATAGGGTCCAAGGGACAGATCTTCTTACATTACCTTCACCCACATCATTCTTTGCAATGTTCAGAGCATAATCCAAGTTCTGATAAAGGGAACTAGGATGGAATCCATTTTCTGGTGAGGGAATGTCAGAAAGGGCCCAAACCTGTCTTGCTAGAGAACAGCCAAAGAGGACGTGGTTAATCGATTCACCTTCCACTCCACAGATTTGACATCTCAGATCCGTTTTGATTCCTCTAGACATCAGTCTTTCAGCCACCGGGATTGCCCCATTCATTGTTTTCCACAAGAACAACTTGATCTTAGTCGGAGCTTGACATTCCCATATCTTATTCTTTATAGCATTTAGGGAAGGTTGCCATGTAGCTTCTTGTATAGCCTCTGCGTTCTGCTTTTGTGATGCCAACCAATAGCCGGATTTTACTGAGTATTCGCCACTTTTATTATGTTGCCAGCACATAAAATCCGGGGAAGAGACCACTGGTTTCATCTTAAGGATTATCTCGATATCTTTGGTAAAAAAATGCTCATTTAGAGCATCCAAATCCCAATACTTCAGGCTAGGATCAATGAGCTCTTTTACCTTCATGTCCACATTCACCAAAATGTTTTTCATGAATGGGGCTCTCATTCTCCCATCCATTATCCAAGGGCTGGTCCACACATAAGTCGCCTCTCCATCTCCTATCCACTGTCTTAAACCCTTTTCCAACAGTTCTCTCCCAAACAGAATACTTCTCCAAGCAAAAGAAGGTCTGTTGCCTTTAGAGGCCTCCAAGAACTGCTCGTCTTCGAAATATCTACTCTTCATGAACCTGGAAAAAAGACTATCTGGATAATGTAGGAGTCTCCAGGCCTGCTTAGCTAACAAGGCTTGATTAAAAATCTCTATATCCTTGAAACCGAGACCCCCTTGATCTTTAGGAAGGCACATTTTGTTCCAAGCTACCCAATGGATCTTCCTCTTATTCTCCATAGTATTCCACCAGAAATCTGACATTGCACTTGATAATGTGACACAAGTCGCTTTTGGAAGTTTAAAGCACGACATAGCATAAACCGGCATCGCCATCGCAACAGATTTAATTAGGATCTCTTTTCCACCTTGAGACAAAGATCTAGCAAACCAGCCCGAAAACCTGTTTTTCATTCTTTCATTGATGTAGTCCAGCATATCAATATTCGATCCACTAAAGCATTCAGGGAGCCCCAAGTAAGATCCAGCTCCTCCCTCCTTAGTTATCTTGGTCTTGGTCCTGATTCTCTCTTTCATACTATCATCAACCTTGGCCCCAAAAGTGATAGAGGATTTATCAAAGTTAATGAGTTGCCCAGTGGCCCTTCCATAAACCTCCAGCACTTGAAGAATAGCTTCACACTGATATTCGTTTGCCTTACACACAAACAAACTATCATCAGCAAATAGGAGATGATGAATTGAGGGTCCCTCAGGAGAGAACTGCAGCCCATTCAAACTCCCTTCCGTCTCGGCTCTGTTTAACATGTGAGTCTGTCCCTCTGTGCATAAGACAAATAAAAATGGAGACAGAGGGTCTCCTTGACGCAAACCTCTTTGTGGTTCCACCATTCCAAAGGCCTGACCATTGATCAACACCGTGTAAGAAACCGTAGTCACACACATCATTATCCAATCAATCCATTGTGCATGAAACCCCAAAGCTCCAAGTAAAACCTTTAAATAACTCCACTCAACCCTATCATAAGCCTTAGACATATCTGTCTTGATCGCCATGAACTCTTTCGAAGTGGAGGCATGTGTCCTTAGACTGTGTACAACTTCATGAGCTATGATGATATTGTCCGAGATAAGCCTTTCTGGCACAAAAGCGGATTGATTTGGGGACACTATCTCAGCTAGTAATGGCTTGAGTCTTGAGACCATGATCTTAGATATAATCTTGTACATTACTGAGCACAAACTTATCGGTCTCATGTCAGCCATCGAGGAAGCATTGACTTTCTTTGGAATAAGGCATAATTGAGTAAAATTCCATTCTTTCTCAAAAATCCCCTCCTTAAAGAACCTCATTACATCCTTTGTAACCTGCTCCCCAATAATGTCCCAGTATTGTTGAAAAAAGAGACCTGTCATACCATCAGCACCAGGAGCACTAGAAGGTTTAATAGCAAAAACCGCCGCTCTAATTTCATCTTTTGTGACTTCAGCAACCAGACAAGAATTCATCTCATCAGAAACTCTAGGTTCAAAATTTTGAAAGAACCTGAGATCGATCTCCCCAGGATAAGAAGAAGAGAATAATTGTTGGAAGTAACGAGCAGCCACGTCACCCTTGGACGCCTCTGATTTATGAATTTTCCCTTCCTCATCCATCAGCCTATCAAGATTATTCTTCGTTCTTTCAGCATGGACTGAAGCATGGAAGAATTTTGTGTTTTTATCTCCAGAATGCAGCCACTTGTGTCTTGTTTTTTGTTGCCAATAGCTCTCTTCTTCTCTGTGGGCATAAACCATTTCTCTTTTAAGATAAGCCATTCTTGGGAAAGACGGCCGTAGAAGAGCATGCTCTTCCTCAATGGCCTCTTGAATCCTATTGATCTTTACCTGTGAGTTAGTAACATTGTTTCTTTTCCATTTACTCAAGGACTTTCTGCATCTTCTTAATCTTTCAGAAGTCTTTTGACCAAAGAGGGATGAAGAGGCCTGCCATGCCTGTTTAATAGTCTCTTTGACCAAAGGTTTGTGAAGCATCCTCTTATCAAATCTAAAGCTTCCTCTGTAAACTTCTTGAGAAGAGATCAATTTAACCAAAACAGGCCTATGATCAGACCCTTTCTTGTCTAGGAAAGCTTGGTTAGAAGCAGGAAATTTTTAGAACCAATCTTTATTGCCAAAACATCTATCCAATTTACACTGAATCCATAGATCTCCCCTTCTACCACCCCAAGTAAAGCCATTCCCTACACTGATCAATTCTGACATCTCACAGCACTTTAACATATCCCTAAAATCAACAAAGGATGCTTCACTTCTTCTTGGACCCCCCAGTTTCTCGCCATTGTGTAAGATTTCGTTGAAATCTCCTACCATACACCATCCTTGTTTCCTAGGAATACCAATCCGAGAAAGCCTTTCCCAAACTTCATTCCTGAAACTGCTATTTGGGTTACCATATACACAAGAGAGAAAGAACTTCGCTTCCCCCATTACCACTTCAACATCTAGGACATTCTTATTTACAAACAGAAAGTCAATCTCTACTCCCTTCTTCCAAAACAGAGCTAAACCGCCACATCTACCAATTGGCTCGACTGTATATACATTGTCATAACCCAGCCATCCCTGAATATCTACAATCACATTTTTATTATTCATCGTTTCCATCAAGAACAATATCTCTGGAAAATGTTTTTTACGCATTTCCAAGAGACGTTGAACTGTCAAGTCTTGAGGCCGCCCCAAACCCTGACAGTTCCAGCTCATTATGCTCATTAGATATTGGACGGTCCCTCATTTGGGACCACCTCGGGTTTGTTGTGCTTAACAACTCTTTGACCTTCCACTTCCCCTGTCACTCCCTTCCTCTTTTCACTATTCCCTTGACTCACACCTTCTTTCACAGTCACTTCACCTGGCTCAACTTTCTTCAGCAGAGGTTTTGGTTTCCTCTTACTCACATAAGGCCTTTTCCTTCCTCTCCCTCTTCTCTGCTTAGTCCCGGAAGAGCCAGCTTCATAGAAGCCAACTGCATAAGCCGTAGGACCAGCCTGAGAGTTAGAGGACGCTTGAGAGTAATCAACCAAGGAAAGCCCTTCCAAACCTTGTACTGATGTCAAGTCCTGAAATCTGTTCCTTCCAGCTTGAATAGCCGCACCCATTAACTTCTCTGATCCAGTCGGTTGAGCTGCTTCCTTAGAGGAGACCTCCGAAGAATCATAACCAAACACGAGACCCTTCCCTTTATTGAAGTCCGTTGAAATCACTGGGGGAGGTTCCATTCTCAAGACAATTTTCTGAGTAAGAGGGTCCTTCTCTGCTTCTGCAACAGAGCTCTTTATCTTTTCAATTCTCAGAGCCCGGTCCTCCATAGTGGCTAACTTCATATACTGCCTCATTCCTTCTAAGACATCTGGAGCAATTCTAGGTCTTCCCAACAAAGGATGTATTCCCACTTGTTCTTCTTTAAGCACACCAAATAGGGGGTCATCTTCTTTTAAGACCAACTCTGGTTTTGTCTTAACTACCTTCCTTCCCATCTTCTTATCAATGGCTTGATCATGGATTTGTTTCAATACCAAAGGACATTCCTCCTGGACATGAGTCATTCTTTGGCATTTGTAACATCTCTTTTGAACCTTTTCATAGAAGTAGAACACTGATGTAGACAGACCTTTGGGCAGCAGAATGACCTTTGATTTCCGTAGAGGCTTAGATACATCAAACTTAACCTTAACACGGACATAATCCTTATTTTGTGGTCTCTCAGGATCAAACACAACTTCCACAACCTGACCAACAAGCTCTCCTAACAACGTAATCGTTTGCTTGGTGTAGTAGTTCAGAGGAATGTTTTTTATTTGAACCCATAACGACACAAACTGCAGAGACTCAGGTCCTGGATTTTCTGACCACCTTTCCATAACTAGACCCCATTCGTTGTAAGTCTGAAATCCTTTCTCTAAGACTTCCACTAAGTCATGCTCAGAATTGAATATGAACTGGAATCTTTCATTTGAGAGAGCCACGCCACGAACCCTTCCTATCTTCTGCCATTTCCTGGGCATATTGAAGACCAGACTTGACATACTTTGACATTGGGGATTAAGCAATCTACCAATCAGACTCAACTCATTCTTTTCGCAAGAACTGAACTGAGGTAAATCTGGCATCTCGAAAGGAGCATCATCTTCCTCCAAAGACATAGTCATTAACGCTTTATCCATCGCCGCCGACATTTTGATGACCTTACTTTTGTTAACAACAACACAAATCTTCTCAAACACCGACCAATACCTGATCCACGCCGAAACCACGAGCACTAAGAGCCTTTAAACTCCAGAGAGAGACACCCCTTGTATCTTAGCTGATAGCTCTGATAGCCTTTCTTACAAGTTACAAACCCCTTTCAAATCAATTAAATTATTCCATGTCACTTTTTGTTTTTTACTATTTAAAGGTATTTCAGTTAAACCAAAAATAATATTGTTTTCAGTCTGGGTTGATTTGGTTAACTTTAACATTCCATAATCACAAATTTACACATGCTAATTATAACCAAAAAAGATATAAAAAAATTTGATAGAAATACACATATACTAAAAGTTTATCGTTATCAAATAAGAAGAAATAAACGTTTCATACACATTAATAAAATCCAGGCAAGAAAAGTAAAATAAGAAAGTAGAAAAGAGTAAAGGGGAATGAAGAGAAAGAGCTTTGGAGTTGCTTCTTCATCCTTCCATTTCCACTCGATGTTCAGCAGCTCAAGCTAAGCTAAGGCTCGCATCTCTCTCCATCAAAGCTTTGGGTATTTTCTTCTTTCTCTCCTCTTCCTTAATAGAATCATCGCCTTGAGCTTCTCTCTTCCGTAATCGTTTTTTTCTAGATTATCCTTGCGTTTCCATCTCGATTTTGCTTTTCATGGATCTATCATTAGTCTTTAGGATCTTTAGCTAGAATTTTTTTTGTTTTGTTTTTTCATAAGAATTCAAATCAGGTTTTTGTGTGCGTGTGTGTGTGTTTGTAAATCCGTAATCGGTGAGTCTTCTCTTTCACCTGATTGATCTCTCTAGCTTGCGATTTCGATTGAGCATCGGGTTTGACGTAGATCTTCGTCACGGTGTACTAATCCATTCGTATACTGTTTTTTTGTTGCTCTGTTTGTTGTCTTCAGGTATCCAGCTGCAGCTTCAGCGTCTGACAGTTGTGGATTTGATTTGGTTTGGTTCTATTCCTTTATTTGGGGGTCTGTTTCCTTTTTCGTCTCTGTTAGTTCTTTATGATTATCAATTTTTCGATTTCAAGTTTAAATTTTGGGTATCTAAAATCATGTTTCAGGTGGGAGTTCGAATGTCTAAATTGTTGCGGAAGTGCTTTTGATTAGAAACGAGATGAGTTACACGAGCACCGACGACAGTGACCAGAATGAGTCACCAGCTGCTGCTGATGATAATGGAAGTGACTGTAGAAGTAGATGGGAAGGAAGTGGTTTGAAGAAAGGCCCATGGAGTTCTGCTGAAGATGATATCCTTATTGACTATGTGAATAAGCATGGTGAAGGTAACTGGAATGCTGTGCAGAAACACACTGGTCTGTTCCGTTGTGGTAAAAGTTGTCGCCTAAGGTGGGCTAATCATCTGAGGCCAAACTTGAAGAAAGGAGCCTTTAGCCAAGAAGAAGAACAGCTCATTGTTGAATTGCATGCCAAGATGGGAAATAGATGGGCACGTATGGCTGCGCATGTAAGTTTCTTTTCGTAAGGATATGCTTCTTATTTTTTGTAAATTAAATTCTTTCCATCCTTCTTAATGTGTGCCCTGAGACTAATTTCATCGAGTTTTTGTTTCCCTCAGTTGCCTGGCCGAACGGATAACGAGATTAAGAACTACTGGAACACTCGCATCAAGAGGCGACAGCGAGCTGGTTTACCACTTTATCCTCCTGAAATGCATGTTGAGGTACTTGAGTGGAGTCAAGAGTATGCCAAGAGTAGAATTATGGGAGAAGATACAAGACATTCAGATTTTTTGCAGCTGGGGAGTTGTCAATCTAATTTCTTCTTTGACAATCTTAATTTTGTTACCGACATTGTACCTGGTGCTAGTTCTGACCTAGCAGATACGACTGGCTACAAAAATCTGGGTAATGCTGCAAGTTCTACTCGATATGGAAACTTCATGACACCAATAATGACCTCCTCGAAGCGACTTTGGGAATCTGAATTGTTGTATCCTGGGTGTAGCAGTACCATCAAGCAAGAATTCCCTTCGCCTGAACAATTCCAGAACACATATCCTCAAAAGGTTTCCAAAACCTGCAGTTTCTCAGTTCCTTGTGATGTTGACCATCCTCTCTTCGGAAACCAACATTCACCTGTTATGATTCCAGATAGCCATACCCCTACGGATGGCATTGTTCCTTCTTCTAAGCCCTCATATGGGGAAGTGAAGCTGGAGCTCCCTTCATTCCAATATTCAGAAGCAACATTTGACCAGTGGAAGAAATCGTCATCTCCTCCACACTCTGATCTCCTTGATCCCTTTGATGCTTATATTCAGTCTCCACCACCACTAACTGGGAGAGAAGAGTCAGACTATTTTTCAAATTGTGATACTGGTCTACTTGATATGTTACTTCTGGAGGCCAAGATCAGAAATAATACTACAAAGAACAGTTTGTACAAGAGCTGCGCTTCAACTATTCCATCAGCTGATCTAGGCGAGGTTACCGTGTCCCAAACTAAATCCGAGGAGTTTGACAATTCCCTTAAGAGTTTGGTCCGTTCCGAGATTTCCACACAACAATATGCAGATGAAATTTCACTAAGTCAGTCACTATTCTACTTACCGGTTTCCCCCTCACTTGAAGTAGTTTGTTGATTAGATTTCATTTTCTTCCTGAAAATACTATTTGGGGGGACTTTACTTTTTGAGAAACCATCCCTTGCATCAATTGGTTTCTTATAGCTGAGATTCTGAGCCTGATCGAGAACTCACTCAAACTTATATAATTATGCAGGGCAGAGAGGAAAAAAGCGAAAACCTCTCTTGGATATAACACGGCCTGACGTTTTGCTTGCATCGAGCTGGCTCGACCATGGTTTGGGGATTGTAAAGGAGACAGGTAGCATGAGCGACGCACTCGGGGTTCTCCTCGGCGATGACATAGGAAATGACAATATGCATACGAATGTTGGGGCATCCTCAGGAGTTGGGTCTTGTTCTTGGAGCAACATGCCTCCTGTCTGTCAAATGACGGAACTACCTTAACGAGCCCGGGAAATCTTCCACTCCGTTGGTTGTGGATTGGATTAGAGGCCGCTCAATATTTGTCAATTCTGGTGGACTAGCAACTGCCTATGCAAGAATAATGTCTTTTTCTTTGAGCCCTTTGAACACAGCCGATACTTTGTTAGCTTCTGTACCAATAACCATATCACGATTCATCAGGAGGATGAAGTGGTTGATTTTGTAGAACCTAAGGACTTCGATATACATACAGTTTGATTTGATTGAATGTTTAAAACCGATTTTTTTCCATTAATGTTCTCTATTGTGGACCAAAAAAGAAAAAAAAAGTTTCTCTTCGGATTACTATTTCGATTTGGTTTATCAAGGACTCTCCTAAAACAAAGAAAACAAGATTGATGTTGTACAATGACAAATTAGATCAAAGACGGAGACGGCATATATAAAATTAGAACAAAATAGATAAATACGAATAGATTCGGTTGTCAAAGCCTCTATGTAGAATAATAGTAGCATGATGATGTATATGAAATATGAATTGTAACAAAAATTGAGTCTGCGCTCTTCCCTGTCAAAACAAAATCTCAGAGCATGCAGCTTGAGGGGTTCGGATAAGTTAGGCTGTGGGTTTCTTGGTTCTGATGATGTCCTTAAGCTCAGCAAACTTCTTCTTGCATTGGTTCATCGTTTTCCCTGGAACAGCTGTTGCTATTCTCTCCCATCTTTGGTTTGTCTCCTTTGGAAATGTCTTGAAAGCCTGAATCAGAGCTCTTTCTTGCACAGCAGACCAACCTTCTGGGTCTGAAACAGCAGCAGCATCTTGTTCGGAATTGTTCTCTTCACCCTTACCATTCTTTTCTGTGGTCTCTGTTTTGGTTGAGTTGTCTTCTGCATGAGGTTTGGTCACAATAATAGGTTCTCCGAGTTCCTCTCGTGTAGAGAGAGGAGAGGCAATTGAAGCAGCGGGTTTCCTCTTCTCCAAAAAAGAATCAAATGCTTTAGCCGAGTCAGGTTTATGGAGAAGTACTGTTTTAGTTGCCTTGAGAATTTCGTCCACGGATCTTCCAGTACCTATGTACTCTGATATGACTTCCCATCTTTGAGACGTACCTTTTGGGAACTTGGTTATTCCTTTTCTCAGCATGTCAATCTCTTCCTTGCTCCATGATTTCTCTTTCTTCTGATGAGTAGCAGTATCTACTCTGGCTTCTACATGACCATTTGTTTCTACTCTGGCTTCTACATGACCATTGGTTTCTACTTTGGCTTCTATATGACCATTCTGCTTAACAGCTACTTGAACTTCTTCTTCTTTACTCTCTGTTTCATCATCATCAATGCTGTTCCCATTCTTGAGCACTTTTGCCAAAGCCAGTCCTTCCTTGTTTTTCATCTTGTCACACAGCTTTCGCAACTGCTCAGTGTTAAGTGACATGCATAGATCTTCTACATGATCAACAGAGATACCAAGCAGTTTCTGGGACAGAACCGGCGCGGAGAGAGCTCTGAGCCGACTTCGTTCTTTCTGCAGAAGCTTCTTATTTTTTTCCTTGGCTCTCTTGTGCAGCTGAGCAGCCTCTGCTGCACGTTTTGCTTCTTCTTCTTTTCGCCTTTTCTCTTCTTCAATAGCTGCAGCAGCCTCTTCTTCCAGCTTCTTTTTGGCCATAACTTTTGCTTCCTTCATCTGCAGCTTCATGGCCTTCTCTTCCTCCTTTCTCTTCAATATCCTTATGTCTTTTTTGTGTGCATTGTCAACAAGAATCCTAATCCGAGCATGTTCCTCCTTTCTAGCCTTATTAGATTTTTTTGCATTCTCTCTCTCCATCCACCTCTTTTCTTCACGGGATTCTGCTTGCTCAATATCATGCTCCTCTTCTTCAGGAAACTCTCTCCAGCTTTTAAAACCGTACCAGTAACTGTAGAACCTATCAACCTCTTTAAGTGGTGTATTTTCATCTCCCAAATCTGGTACATGTGAAGCACTCGACCACCTTGCATTTCTCTTAAAAGCTGGACCAAAAACCTTGAAGAAGTCTTGCGGAGCACAATCAGTTGGGACTTCGTCATCAAACTCATCTGTAGAGTCAAATATTCTTCTTTTTAATGGGTCCATCAAAATCTCATATGCTTCTTGAATCAACTTGAAGTGAGATTCAATCTCATCTTTTTTGGCTTGTTTTGCTTCTTCTGTCTCCTCGGCAAGAAGTAGAGTAGCAAGTTTATCAGGGTGATGCTTCAGTGCAGCTTCACGATAGCTTTTTCTAATCTGATCCTCTGTTGCAAGATATCTTAGATTGCCCAAACCCAACAAAGCATAGTGATCATGTTGTTGCTTCCCCGACTTCTTCTTTCCTTTGTTGTTATGCGAGTCATAGGAAGGAATAAATTCATTATCCTTCTCCTTTGGGACTTTCTTATCAGTATCTTCATTCTTGCCTGTGGCTTCCTTTGCACATCCACGCAATTTGAGAGCAGCAGCATGGAAGGCATGACCAGCAGGTTCACGGTTTAAAGCCTTCACAGGATGACAATTGGAAGAAGCATAGAGAGCTTGTCCACCCGAAAGCTCATTTGAGTATGTAAGCAGCTTAATAGCAGAGTTAATTCCCCAACTCTGCATGATGAATATGCGTCAGAACTTCGAATCCACCTTACTTCAAAAGTGATCACCAATGGTTAGTCCTGTCACAAAGAATCAAAGTAATGCAACAAACTTCTTAGTCAGCAGTATACACAAGTACAATTATTCAGACGCAGACATAGACAAGGCTAAACATCCAAATCAATTAAATCTTTTACTGGAACGTAGATACAAAAGATAAAAATAAACTTCTATATGAAGATAGAAACTTTTTCTAATTTAGATCCACTTGGAAGGAGATCCAAGGTTTATCAACTTAAGCAGTTTTACAAAACGAGCTGTCCTTGATTAGACTAAGGATTAAGGGTCACAGAGTCGCACGATGCAAAACATAGCCAAGCAAGTAAAACCAAGAGAACAGTGTCCATAAATCAAAATAATCCACAAGCTGTATGTACTTATCACAACATCCTCTGGAACTTGTCAACGGAGGTTGAAACAGAAGCGAGTCAACAAACAATCTATAACCACGAAATAGCTCCTAAACCCTAGTTATAGTATTCCTACTTAACATCATCAACACAAACAGCAAACAAAGGAAAAAAAACCCCTTAGATTTTGTCTTTTAGGTTTACCTCTGCAAGCAGAGACACAAACAGAGTAAGATATTTTTTAAGCGATCTCAAAAACTCAAATCGAACCTACTCGAATAGAATAAACAAACAACCAAGTTTTCTTACCAGATATTGAACTCGCCGTCGCCTAGATTAGCCTGCCGTAAGTTTCTCCTCCGAAGTTCTCGCAGTCGTAAAGAAACGACGAAAGCGAGAAGAGTTCAATAAGTTCAGGAGGAAACGGCGGCGGCAGCTCAATGAAGAGGAAGAAGAGGAGAAAGAAAAACCACAAAGAAGTTTGCTTTAAAAGTGGGGGAAGTCTACACACGCTTATTCGATTTTATACTTCTCAATGCAACCCAGCCCTTATTTCCTTTTAAGCTCGGTTTAAATATGGGCCCAGGCCTAGGCCCATTAACTAGTCGGATTAGGCCCATATAGAAACATCTTGAGCCAGAGGTGAGGGAGCGAGCATCTAAACCAAAAAAAGAAGTTTATATAATCGGCAAATGCTTTCTTCGGCGTCAAAACGCTGTCTTCGCCTGATCAGACTGCACGTTTCTTCGCCTTCTTCGTTGTAACCATCGACGCTTGGGTTTGATCGAGATTTTTAGCTCGCCGGAAAAAAATTCACTGAACAACAAATCTGAGTAGCTACCAGCTCAATCTCTGGTAAGCCAAAGTTTAGTTTCTCACATCGTTGTTTTTTGTTTTCCAGGTTCTTCTTTTGCTCGATGTTTTTTTTGCTCTCAATCTTGTGATTCGTGAAGTTGTTGAAGATCAATAAATAAATCTTCTTCTTGTTTGTTTTCGCGAAATGATTAGGATGTGATTGAAACACGAAATCTAGGTTTTCTGTGTACTCACATTTCTCCGTACTGTTGCCGGTTTTTTTGTGTGTGTGCGCGTGTTCGAATGGATATGTTTGTCCTTGCACAGTATTGAATCCCTTGAGATGATTTAGTGTACCAAAGATATTGTTCTAGTGCTTCGTTTTGTTGTTGCATTAGCACATTTTCCGTGCGCTTTCATAAAATCAGATAGGATTTAGCTGTAGAGATATGTTACTGTAAAGTCTGCGCTTAATAATTCCCAAGTGTTTTGTTTCGTATTCATTTCTTCTGGAGTTAGCTTATATTGTCTGTCTTACCAAGCTTATAGCAGCATTTGATAGTATGTGGCTTGTGTCTTATCCTTAAGCAAGTCTGGCGTTTTGTATGACTAGTATGAGTATTTACATGGGTGGTTTGGCAACTGAAGTTTGATTTTTGGCCTTTTAAACAGAAATCAACCCGAGTACTGAGCTGGAGTAGGTGAAACACAGCTTGAATACATTTTCCATCATGCAGAGTTAGGAACTTACCTCTGCCATTAGGCTATTACGTATTTTTCTATTACTACTTGTGTACTCTCTCCCTTGCACTCTTTGTTGTATGAGATTTAAATGATATTTACAGGTAGCTCAGTTATGGTGGCCATTGTTAACTTATACAGATCTTTTTTCATTGTTAATGTTGTTCCATCTCTGTCATGATCTTGGTGTTTCATTTCATTGTTGCGCTTCTTGAAATGTATCATTTTCTTCTCTTGATACTTGTTTGACTTGTTGTGATGTTAAAGTTTCAATCCAGTTCTAGAAATTTTGATTGAAAAATGTTGAAGGCTTTCTGGGAAAATGTTATTGTAATGATTCATTCCCTTCTTTTGTTGCCACTTTTTCAGTTCTAAAATCAGAATACTTTGTAATAAAACTGAAATCTTGTCAAAATATTTCTTAAAACACAAGTGGTATCTATGGTTTTCTACCTTTTTGGTCAGATTCTGCTTTGTTACCAATGGAGAGCTTGGCGCAACTTGAGGCAATGTGCGAGAGATTATATAACTCACAGGATTCAGCTGAGAGGGCTCACGCTGAAAATAGTCTGAGATGCTTTTCCGTGAATACGGATTATATATCGCAATGTCAATACATTCTCGACAATTCATCAAAACCTTATTCCCTCATGCTTGCTAGCTCGAGTTTGTTAAAGCAAGTGACTGATCATACCCTTCCGCTGAGTCTTCGTCTTGACATCAGTAAACTTCTTATACCCTCCTAACAAAATAACTAGAAATATCTCATTCTGGCCTTTATTATCTTACTTATTTTTGGTGTACCATTTTCTTTAGGGGCATATATTGTGAACTATCTGGCTACAAGAGGACCGAAGATGCAATCATTTGTAATTGCTTCGCTCATTCAATTGCTTTGCCGGCTCACAAAGTTTGGATGGTTAGATGATGATAGATTCAGGGATGTGGTCAAGGAATCTACAAACTTCTTGGAACAGGTGGTGCATCTTCTTGGGGAATATAGTGACTGTGTTTCCATGGTCTCTTGTGCTTTGTGGACATTTTATCTCAGTATACATGATGATGATACATCTGTCGAAGTTTCAGATATTTTTAACAAGAGCTTGTTGATTACTTTGCTTACTTCTACTTTTTTGAATAGGGTTCTTCGGATCACTATGCTATTGGGTTAAGAATTTTAGATCAACTTGTGCAAGAGATGAATCAGGTTAGTGATGTATTGTGGTTGAATTTCCATGTCATATAAATGCCTTGACATATGCTGGAATAACTCAATTTCAAGTTTGCGTTTCGTCGCCTGGATAGCTCATTGCTTTAGAGTCATGGTTTCTTTTATCATCTTTGAGTTGCCTCATCTTATTTTTTTTTTTTAGTTTTTTAAAGACTTTTTAAGATACAAATAAGAGGTTTGTGCTGTATATAAATAATTGTCTGTTTCTTCCATTCCATTATTTTTTCACTAAAATCATTTAAAGGTTTAAGATGGCTGTTTTTTTAGACTGGTTGAAAAATTATATATGTTCACAGTGTGCATGTTTTTGAATAGATACCGTGTCACCCAAAATATTTTTTCGAGGGTATCTATTCGTCCATTTTCTTTTGTTTGAAATTCTTGTTGACATTTCTTCATCTATTTTATTCTTAATTCTTAGCCTAACCCAGGACTGCCTTCAACACATCACCGGAGGGTTGCCTGCAACTTTAGGGATCAATCCTTATTTCAACTATTTCGAATAGCTTTGACGTCATTAGGCTATCTGAAAAGTGATGGTAAGATGAGTAAATTTTGCCAGCTTTCCTTATTCCTTCACTTCAAGTATGGAAATTTGTAAACACCAGCTTAAAATTTGTATGCTATTGGAATGTTATATAATCGCTAAGTATTTGCTATCTTTGTCGATGTCTATCTTTTAGTCTAGGCATAGACATGGAAATTTTTGTTAGTAATGAGTCATAATTTTCTTTTAACCAGCTGCTGGTCGTTTACAAGAATTGGCACTTTCTCTTGCACTGAGGTGTGTATCATTTGACTTCGTTGGAACTTCAATTGATGAAAGCACAGAGGAGTTTGGTACAGTTCAGGTAGAGCATTGATAATTTTCTATCTTCAACCTCTTTTTCAATGCTTAGTACCTATGTATTTCTTCTGTACTCGTTTTTCCAGGGTGTTATAACTTCTATTCTTACTGATAATTTTTAGATTCCAACTTCCTGGAGGTCAGTATTGGAGGATTCTTCCACGCTGCAGATATTTTTCGATTATTATGGTAGTACAGAGTCACCCCTTTCGAAAGAGGTATGTGTATGTCCATATTGTATATTTTTTTTATGTTAATTTTTGCTCACTCTCATTGTTAGGAGAAATGTTTCAATTACAGTAATGTCTTTGAGGATGTGATTGATTTCATGTACACTTTAGGCTCAATAGGATAACTTACATTTAATTTATTTATTAATATCTTCTGTTTTAACTTCTAGGCACTTGAGTGCTTGGTGCGATTGGCTTCTGTGAGGCGATCTCTGTTCACAAATGATGCTACACGCTCTAAGTTTCTAGCTCATTTGATGACGGGAACCAGAGAGATTCTTCAAACTGGAAAAGGTATGTTGATGTATTCTAAAGCGGGACTTTCCTATGTCTGACTATAAATATTTGCGCTTAAGGTGCTGCATTGTATGAAACTTTTTTCATATACAGTTTTTAACTCTTCATGACTGAAATTCCAGCCTCTCACTTATGCAGTCTGTTTTTATGTTATGTACAGTATGTGTTAATCCTGTGTTTTATAAACTTTACATCTCATTGATCTTTTTTTAAGCTAAAATATCTCGCTGATCCCGGTTTGTCAATACCAATTGCTTTTATTGGATCAGGTCTTGCTGATCATGATAATTACCACGTGTTCTGCCGTCTACTGGGGCGTTTTAGGTTGAATTATCAGGTAAATGTCTTGATTAGGCTCCTTTCTAGTTTTAACCTTACTGATTGTAGAATTTTGAGTGTTCGTTAGCTTGAAATTTATGTTAAGATGCCATGTTCCTTTTTTTCTGTATGGGACAGTTAGACAGTCTTAACTATTTGTAATTAGTGAGGATATGTACTTCAGACATCAATGCTAGCTCAGAAACAGTTTAAGCTTAAGTGTCTGTCTCTTTAACTGCCAAGGAAGCATACTTATCTCTCTTGGCTAATTGGTATTTTGATTAAAGCACTTGGTTTGTACTTTTCGGTGCTTTTTATTGCTGTGGTTTTTCTCTGGATGATCCTTAGTACTGGTATAATACAATTCGTTATGTCAGCATGTACTTGTTTTGTTGTGCTGAGTCATAGTAATTATTTGGGGGGATATCATTTGGACAAGGTTTATTGGTTTATATGGCTGATATATTCAGACATCATTTAATAGCATATATGAATTAATCTGCAGCTTTCAGAGCTTGTGAAGATGGATGGTTATGGTGAGTGGATACAGTTGGTGGCGGAGTTTACGCTTAAATCTCTCCAGTCATGGCAGGTTATTTTCGCAAGTTTATGTTGGCTGAGATTGTATTTAGTTTGCACAATCCTTGACATTTTTTTTTCACAGTGGGCCAGTAGCAGCGTGTATTACCTTCTTGGAATGTGGTCCAGATTAGTAGCATCTGTCCCATACTTGAAAGGTGATTCACCAAGTCTACTTGATGAATTTGTACCGAAAATAACAGAGGGTTTTATCATCTCCAGATTCAACTCTGTGCAGGTATTTGACACCACATATTCTGGAGGAATTGGAGTAGTAATTTGTAGTTTTTCTTTGATTTGTTTGTATTTGAAATCCTCCTTCCAGGCTAGTGTCCTCGATGATCCGACTGATCATCCTTTAGATAAAGTTGAAGTCCTGCAGGATGAGCTGGATTGCTTTCCTTACCTATGCAGATTTCAGGTTAGTCTTTTTCGTATGTGCGTCTT